GATGAGGTGAAGTGCAAGTGTGAAGTGTGGAGTGCGGGGTGTGAAGAGTGCAGTGTGAAGTGTGAAGGCAGTGTTCGCTTGGAGTTGCATTGCGCCGGGGTCCTGCGCAGGTCATGCCATGTTCTTGGACAACAACAGTCCAACACATGCAAGTTCTATAGATGAGAAAGGTCTTCTAGTATAACGCTAAGGCAACTTCCGCCCCGCCTCGTGCGGGTACTACTGGTATGTATATATATATATATATATATCTATATATATATATGTGTGTGTGTGTGTGATATATATATATATATATCTATATCTATATATATATATATATGTACATTATATATATATTATAATCCTTGGGTTATACACTTTCTAGTAGCAACTTTCCCCGTAAAAAGGTTGCTGGCTTTGCTGTGGCCTGAGGTCCGGATACAACGGCACCATTTTGGCCTATGGCCCCACTGGGTCTGGGAAGTGTGGCAACCCAGGGGCTGAAAAATGGTATGTCGCCATGAAAAGTTAAATTTTAGCTGTTAATTTAGCAAAAAACTTTGAAAAATTGCCCAGATTTGATTTGTTACAATACGTAGGTATATTAACTAGTGGTATTATGGCATAGAATGGGAAAATAAATGGGAAATTGATGATCGATACCCTCTGGCAATTGGTTACATAGCTATAGACTGAAGCCATGGCCCATTAAACAAAATGATTTACCAAACTTAAACATTGTGATTTTCCACAAGGAACTATTAGATTACCAGAGGGTAATCAGATTTAACCAATAAAATATTGGTGATCTAACCAATTTCAATCACAAAGTAGAGACAAGCAAATGCTGGTGCAATCTTCTCTTATTTCTCCCGACTGCCGCCACTGATTCTGGCTTCGAGCACGGCTTGTGCCAGTTTCAGCAACACTGCACGGAGAACTGCAGTGTAGTCTTTGAACCTCTGATTGCTGCGAGGAACACGCCTCGTTGAATTAAATGCCTTCAGCCCAGGAATCACAAAGGACACAGCAACAAGAAAAGGAGCGACAAATCAACCAGTCAGGGACATAAATGAAGGCTTTGCAAATCGGAAAAACAGATCTATGGCCAGATGGGAAAACCCACCCGTGGTGGATGTCACTAGGGATGGTAAGACCTTCCCCAAGACATTCTCAGCTGTCCTACTGCCCCTCTCAGCATTCAGTGCTTCCGTTGCTTTCATCAAAGCATCGTTGGCCACCCGCAAGGCATATGCAGCCTCTAGGTCTTCCAAAGCAGCACGTGCCAGCCAGACATTCACCCTGATCAGCGCCCAACATGCGCTCATGACCAGTGTCAACCGGCAGAGCTGCCAGAGACAGGCCTGAAAGAGCTGGATGCAAGCAGCCAGCGCACTGCGCAAGGCAGCAACTAGTCACTCAGTCGTCTTGCCTTTGGTCTTGCATGCTGTCTTGCTTGCCTTGGGCTTGGCAGCTGCTCTGCCTGTCTTTCTGGTGGGCTTTTTTGCGGCCGAAGCTCCACCGCGAACTCTGCGACGGGTCGGTTTCTCTGAGGGTGCCGAAGCTGAAGGGCTGGATGTAGCAGCTTTGGACTTGCCACTGCTGCTGTTCCGGGAATTGCTTCCATTGGTGGTGGCCTTTTGCCGAGCACTTTTGGGTGCGGAAGGTGGCTTTTCTGCCTTGGCATTGCACATGTCAAAGAGTTGCTTCTGTAAGAGAGACTGCTGTTGCATCTGTTCTTTCTGCAGCTCAAGTATGGACAATACCAGCTTCTGCTCCCCTTTTTGGTCGCTTGGTTCTTCGGCTGGCATGTCAACGGCATTCTGTGGTTCTTCGGCTTTGCCTGCCAGGCAAGCCATCATGCCCTGGGCAGTCTGCTTGACAGCCTGCTTATCATTCTGGCAAGATTTCATAAAAAGCCCAGCTGTCCCCTCAACAGCTTTCCATGCTGCGGAGGCAACTCCGGAGCAAACGCCATCCCATGCAGAACTCACTACCCCTGCACAAAGCTGATTCAAAGATGACTGGTGAGCTTCACTGTAATGGTTGGAGTGGTGGCCGTGGTCATGGCCATCCCACTTTTGCCAGCCGCCTTTGCCCGACCAAGTTCTGTGGTTTTGCTGCCATGGCTGACGGCGTGACCATGCTTTGCCATAGCCGCCTTTCCCCATGGCGCAAAGGAGAGAAAGGTGAGGTGAAACCAGCTGAGTGCCAGGTGAGCACTGGGATGGCAACAGTCATGTGAAAAGCTTACCTAAGAAAAACCGAACAAATCCGTCCCTTACAACCAGCAATAGGGGAACAAGACATATAGGAAATGTCATGCAGCTGGCCTAAAGGTTTATACAGACACAAGCTTGCGGCCCTCGCACGGCAATTGCTTTTGTTAAGATTTCCCGAGCATGCTTAATAGCTGGCGGGCAGTATCGGCCACGCCGCCAAATCTTTAACATGACACCTAGGGGGTACCCATGCAAAGCCCAAATCTGCAACTCACATTCAACTGCACGATGCAAACTGGCCAGCGGCAAGTCCAGAGAACGCCAACGATTCAATTTGCCATGAAGCAGTGCAAGCAACTGTGGGACATCTAGAAGCGCTTCTCCTTGAAAAGGCATCAAGCGGAACTTGGTGGGGAGTTCAAGGATTCCCTGCGCGGCAAGAGAACGCCAAGTACTTTCAACACCATGAGCATGGACATGCATATCAAGACCCACACATTGAATCCACACATCAAGCCAAGGCAACCCCAAGTCCGTTTGTTGTGTTGCGTCAAAAGACACTGGTTTATCGTACATGTGGCTAGGGAGCTCATGTAAGCAGTTGGTGCAAAGAACAGAGGAAACAAGACAGAGGTCATCAACATAGCGAGTGGCAGCAATTGCTTCGCAGAAGCGCATCATAGGTGGGTACCAGACGCCCTGGCCCTTGTTAGTGTCGACCCAATGCGCTTCAGAAACACCTAGTATAACAGATGCACATTGTTTAGACAGAAAACCACCTATGGGAACACCCCTGCGTTGCTCGAACAAAACTGGTCCAACGTTCACACATGTCTGCATCAGGGCAAGCTCTGCAATTGTCAACATGTCTTCCCACCGATGGAGATGGGAACCAGCAGTTGGGCGGAAATTGTTTCGGGCTACCCAGTAATGCAAGCGCCGGCTTTTTTTGGTAACCACACCAAATGACTGATGGGAACTGTCGCGAAGTTCCGCAAATACAAGCCGAAGCCGGCGTAAGACCTCATCCCTAGAAATTTCTTCAAACAACTGGGCCGCATCACCTACCCATGCACACAAGGGTGGTTTAGGGGAACAGCACTTATAACACTGAGACAAACAACCATGGTCATGGCGCAACTTGCTCACTGCAGCACGCAGGTCACTGACGGCAGAGAACAGGTCATGTGTTTCAAACCCTTTTCCCCACAGCCTAATGGCTGCCTCAAGTCCTCGGGCAGTTGCCTTGTAAAGCCGTTTGCATGGATGTGCGGCCCAGCTTACCACACGCCGGCAACATGCATGGAAATCTTTGGAGCAGGTTCGACCAAAGCCGCTTCTGAAACATTTGGACTTGATATTGACATACATGTACGCTAGCTTCCAATTCTTCCACCTAGAAGGGCCACAACATGCTTGCAAGAATGGGGGCAACCTAGTAACGTGAGCTTGCCGGTACTTCTCTGCAATGTCCGCAGCACAACCTTGGTGACGCACCCAGTGGTCGACATCTTGGTTTACCATGAGAGCAACAAGTTTTTGGTAGACCATTGTTGGCAAGATCCAGCAGGAAGCTTTGTCTTTGTCCTCCTGCACAGCAACATGATCAAGAGGGACAGTCAAGTTTGCAACGTAGGACAAATGTTGGTCTAGGCAAGGTTGAAAGCTAGCCAAATGGTGGTGGAGCCAACCACGGATATGTCTTCGCCAGCATTGGCCAACATTCTGGCCCAGCGACCGTAGCCACGCTTGCACGCTGCACTCTGCGCGCTGCGCACATGAGAATGGGGACTCCCAAACCGGGGTCTTCCAATAATGTTTGCAAAGCCTCATCTGAGCACCCTCAGTTGGCGAGAGCCTCAGCAAACTAGGCGGCAGGTCAAACAGGTGCTTATCAGTCATGTTCCGGCAAGTCTTGATATAGTTCCACCTTACAGCAAAGGTGTGCCGCGGAGGCTGCACAGCTTGAACCGCAAGGACAATCCAACGTGCAATCAGCGGTGAACATGTCAACAAGAACTGCTTTTGGATATCACGCAGGCAAGATTGAAAAACACGCTTTGGCAAGGACAGGGGCCATCGCAGCAATCTCTTCCGGGTGCCAGGAAGCCCATGACTACGGAGCCACCGGTCACAAGCGTTGATGCCCCGCTTCCGGATATTACAACTAGGCTGCTCAAGCAATGCAAACATGGCAACAATGGCTTCACTGCCTGGTGGTTCACTCTGCAAACCCCAGCGCTGCCTAATGGATTCCCAACATGTCGTCTTAGTTTCACAAACATAGCATGCAAAGAGAGATGCACAGTGGGTGTGCCGCAAGTCAAGGGGGCCAGCTTGACCAGTAAGGGCCAGTCTGTGCAAACTCACATGCCAATATGCTGCGTGAAAGGTGAGAAAGAAACTTTGCGACAAATACTTTTGATCAACCAAAATCTGGGAGCAACAAGCCCTACGGCGGATCAAGTCACACGCTTTATAGATGACATTTGAAGTTCTGTCAGTAAGATGCTTCTTAGTATCATGAATGCAACGAAAGCGTGGTGGGGCCCGCCTGCCGCCAAGGCGGCTGGCTTTGCTATGCCTCACTGGTTTTTGTGTCGGTGCTTTGGTGGACTGACTGTTGGCAGGCCAGTGACCAGCACGCAGGAAACATTGCTCGAGGGCTCTAACCATGGACAGCTCCTCAACTCTAACAACCCATACACAAAAGTCACCGAGGGAAGCATGCTTAAAAATAGCAGTTTTGCGTAAGAATTTTGCATGGCTGGCAGAGCGCCTAGCTGTTCTCAGGTCATGCAAGTGCTCATAGAATCGGGCCATGGGTGCACGCAAGGTGCACCTCCATGCACGGCGATTGCATGCTGTACTACCGAGGTAACAGTGCCGCAAAGAACACAACAAGTACAAGTAACCCTTGCCTTCTGTGGCTGTGGACTTGCAGTTTACCTGTGTGGCCAGAAGGTCAGCACACGCATATTTATCTTCAAGCGACAGGGGGCAAGTCTTAGATAAAGCAACTGACAAGTCAGGGTGCACGCACTGCAAACGTTGCCGTGCCCAAGCTTTGCGACAACGGCCGGCTGACGCTTGCCAACGAGTATGCAGAAGCATGCGGACAGAACCTACAACATGCAACAAGTGGTCAAAATCCATGCTAGTGGCCTTCTTCGTTTTGACACCAAGAGGGAATGCCCAGTTTATCATGGCATGTGTTACAAGGCTCAGCTGGTGCGCAAGTTCTTTGGCCAACAGTGGGTCATCACATGCACAGCACGCAATCGTTACACAACGCAGAACACAAGTATCAACACCACTGACATGTCCAGGGGCCAAGCCAACAAGTTTTTTTTGCACATGACGAGACAGTTCATGCTCAACACGCTCATGGACATGGATTTGGGACTGCCAACAACGCAATGCATGTAAAACACGATTCACGACGGCATCTTCCGGCAAGGGCTCCCAATCCACAACTAAATCTGACATGTCAGGCAAGCAAGGTCTTTCACATGCATTCCTGTGCCGGGGCTGGTGCGAATCATCAACTGCATGGGGGTCAGGCTTTCTCATCCAACTATAACAAGCTGCAACAACAAGCGGGAGTTGAATCAACACGCAAAAAGCCACATACCATAACCAGGTTTTCAACCGCAAAATGCTCCGGATGCAAGCTCTACGCAATCTGCGACGAACTGCTCGTTGAGCCGGTCTTGTGCCTCTGTGTGCCTTCATGGGCCTTGTGCCAGCCTAGGTTCAGCCACTTCTATTGTAAGATAAATTATGTAATGTGTTTGACAAGAATTTTCTAAGTAAGGTTAGCCGAGGTGAGGGCCAGGCTGTTAGCCTAGCTCGCAGGTCTACGAGATTCTAGAGGTTCAGGACAAGTTAGATGGGGATGACGTGTTATGCCGCGACCACGGCCCTCAAGCAAGGTCCGGTCAACAACACGGTGGATAATTTCAATCACAAAGTAGAGACAAGCAAATGCTGGTGCAATCTTCTCTTATTTCTCCCGACTGCCGCCACTGATTCTGGCTTCGAGCACGGCTTGTGCCAGTTTCAGCAACACTGCACGGAGAACTGCAGTGTAGTCTTTGAACCTCTGATTGCTGCGAGGAACACGCCTCGTTGAATTAAATGCCTTCAGCCCAGGAATCACAAAGGACACAGCAACAAGAAAAGGAGCGACAAATCAACCAGTCAGGGATCTAACCAATGAGAAATGGATTTGAGCGTGTCTGAAGATTGAGTATGCCCCTTTTCAAAATTGCCACTTGATGATTTTTGTTCACCCATCTCTTGTGCCTTGCAGGCATAAATTGCCATTTGACGGGGGATTGTGATGATAAACTAGGTTGGTTTTTTCAGTAGGATTCCCCATGGTCAACCCCAAAAGAGGGGTGCCGGCACCGCAAAGATATTTGGCATAAAGTGTGCGACACATTGGGCCAAACATTGCGAAAACTTTTTATTGATTGGAGATATCTCATGTATAATTGGATGGTACCATTGATGGTACCACGGCAATCGAAGTTTACGAAATTCCTGGTTTGCGCAAGGTACACTCTGGCAAATTAAGATAGGCCCTGGAAATAAACAATTCTTAGTGGAAATTCATCTTCCAACTTCCGCCAGGGTCTATGTTAATTTGCCAGGGGCCCAGGGCTAGGCCCGAAGCTCCGACAATTCAGGCCCTATGACAACCTCCATCAAACCCTACCCTTTGGTAAACTAAGATAGCTATGGAAGATCACCATTTTAATAGGTAAATCTTCGAACTAAATGGGTCATTGCCATAGCATGCCATAGCTATGTTAGTTCACTGGAGGGTACTCGTACTGATTGGATGTGCAACCAAGTTAGTACCTGCTTAGTAAGTCCCTATGAATGGATTATAACTATGGTTGCTAACCAGCTACTAAGTGGGATGTTCCTCCAAGCATTAGGTCGTGGGGGGTTTACCTTTGGGGAATATCCATGAACCGAAATTGAGGATTTGCATGATCAAACCAGATCCATATTAAGCCTGCAATGTGGAAAAATGCAACAATGAACCGTTCCAAGGTAAACACCTATTCGAGAGTCACAACACATATGTATATATATACAGACATATATACTGATTTTTCTCCCAATTAATGGTGTATCCAAGTAGGAAACGATAATAAAACCCCAATTGGACATGAATTGCCTTTGTGTCATTTTTCCCTCAGCAATGATGGATGTTTTCACATGTAAACCGACTGTTACGACATAGCCGGTAGCCATAAAAAAGATTGCTGCCAGCAACTGGGCACGGCAGCTGCATCCGATGACCAGGACCTTCTGCATGTTTGGCCCGCACGGGCACAAGCCGCCACCATCTGCAGGTGGAAGTGACGACAGTGATGGGTGTTGAAGGTGAAATAACAAACACGTCGTGACCAACTGACCAACCACTTTTACAAAACGTGCCGCCAACGTTAATCCATACAGTGGTTAAACAAAAAAACGCAAAAAGGGTTTTTTGTGAATGTATATGATATTACTTTATATAATATTATATATACATATGATACAAACGGTTGGATGGGTGAAAATGAAAATACATCAACAAAAATAAAATAGTCTGGGCCTACAACTTGGGTACACCAGAATTTATAGCAATTTTAAAGAGGAAAAGAAAGCTATATAAAACGATTGGATTTTGAGGACCCAAAATGTTGCTACTCCCCCGATGGATTTATTTGTCGGAATGGGAGGCCCAAAATGAAGGATCTTGTTTCAGACAGGTAAGATCTTGCAAGTGGCCACATGGTTGCAAACAGCATTGAGATCAAGCGTCAGCCTGCGAAACTTCAGTGGGTCCCAGACCCCGGTTCTCGAAATCCTTGTCTCACTGGTTCAATAAAAAGAGGGGTAACCCGTTGCTTATTCTATACCAAACGGCTCGTCTATGTTGTTCAAAATCATATTAATACATGTACATATATATATATTTACATCCCATACTCATCATTAGTTAAACAGCCCCATGGTTTCAATCCCATGATATCCAATTATATATGATATAATATATCCCTTACATTCCATCATTAAACAAGGGAATCGGCTGACTCGCCGCCCTGCAACTGTCGACATTTGTTTTCGTCATTCTCAAGATGAAATGCTGAAAACAACAGTGTTTTTTTGTTTACATGTTTCATCTTTGGAAGGGATTTAGAGAGTATCATTTTGTACTGCGTGGGGCAATTCAAAATGAAGAAAATGGTTTTCCTTGCAGGCGAAACAACTATGCGTAGCAACATATTCTATCAATGTAACATAAAACTTATGTTCGCTCGCGCACGTGAACAACATGTGCAAGCGTAGCAGCATATTCTATCAACGTAACATCAAACTGAACATTATGTGCAAGCGTAGCAACATATTCTAGTTGTCAACCAGTACTTGATCAGCATTCCTTATGCCCAACATATCCTCGATAGGTAGCTGCGGGAAGTCCTTGTCTTGGGGGATTCACGAATCAATTGTCCGATTTTCAAAGCAAGACATTGAGTCTGGTTTGCGTAGGGTATATTTCCAACATACATATATAATTATATAACATATGTTTTTACTATATATATATATGATATGTGTATATGTACATATACAACATATACATATTAAATGTTTCAACTACATGACAAACTCGGGGTTGTTCAAGGCCATTATAGATAAATGATAGCCAGAAGGGGAGCACAAACATACGTGTGGTGCTGCAGTATTTGTTTGCATGTTTGTTATAGCTCATAAATACATAGTATGGTTTTAGATCATTACATAGGTGTATATATATATATCCAACCATAGCAATATACACTTATAAGCTTAATATGCTGGTTGGAAATATTATATAGTTTTTAGCTATGTAGATTGAAATGGTTATTACCCAATGGTCAGATTTAACACCGATGATTTCATGGGATTCACCCACCAGCCAACTACATAGCTCCGGCTACAACCAAGGCAATACGTTTGAAAAGGTTCTTCTCGATATTATCATCACCAATCACCACTTTAGATAATGTTACCCCAAAGGGACATTAGCCCGAAATCATCAACCATATATCATACATGATGTTTCTGCATATATATATATATATATATATATTCCGTGTATGTATATATATATACATTTTCATGTACCATATATATATATAAATGCCATATAAATACATATTCCATTTATATATATATATATACATATTCCATATGTATATATATATATACACCATATATATATAGGAATGATTTAACAATATGGAGCACATGGTTAACAAATAGATATGGTTTCATTCTGAACCTTCATGCCCAACTCGCGAGGCCTTGTACCACGAGCCGTCCAGCAGGTGGAGAGGGTGACGTCATGGGATTTTCTCCCAAAAAATGGTGAATAGGTGGGATTTCAAATCGCGAAAATGGATGATTTCATGGAATTTAAGCCACACAAATGATGATGATAATTGATTTTCACCAACACAATGTGTGACGAATTGAGGAATTTCACGATGTTTGAACGGCAAGAATTGGGGAATTCAGTTGGGATTTAAGCAGGCTAATATCGACAGCAACAATTGGGATTTAAGCAACAAGGTATAGTGAGACTCCTTTGCAACAACCAGAAGCGCCCAAATCAGTTTGGTCATGGGTGCATAGTATCCACTAGATCAGGAGCCCCAAGATTATCCAGACATCTGTTTTGTTTGTTTTCTACGAACAAGATTTCCAGATAAATATGTTAAGATGAAATGTGTTGTAATATGTTGTAAGTTATCCAGACATTACGGGTGTATTGCAAATCCCCAAAAAGATAGGAAAGTGCTGGGTCAGTGACCTAAGTCGTATCACCTACCCCATGCGTGGCCTATGTGGGAAGCTGTACCACAGTAGGATAAAGGCACAATTTATCACGGCAAATCGAGGCGTTGCCTTGCGGTTGTGCAATTTGCGGTTATCAACATTTGAAGCTTGTACGTAGATATTCCATGCGGTTTCCATTGCTCTTTGGGCACTTTTTATGTTTCACAATGTTTCACATATACGTATATAAAATATAGTATATATATTTCTGGATTGAATTATCTGATGAAAGCCCAGTTCCACGATGGAACTGGATTCTTCCATTCTTTTGGGAAATGGTTCCTTTCTAGTGGAGTGGTGATCAGCCCATTTGGGTTCAAGCATGGAAACATGGATGAGCGAACTTGTGTAAGACACGTTTCCCATTTTTTCAAAGCGAAGCCACCAAGGCAGCACCTTTGTCTGCCTAAATCACCTCTGAAATCATCGACAAGAAAGCCTTGCACAAGGGAAAAGATCGTGAAAGTTTCCTGAAATGCTGGCAATACGTTGGCGCAACGTCCGCTTTGTGCCAACGCCAAAGTTTTTGGCGCAGGGGTAGTAGGTTAGCCAGCGGAGTTGACCTATACACATGGGTAAAAAAGGCTTTGGTTTTCAGAAATAAACGAGATGAACATGTCCAATGAGTTCCTATTACACATAAACAACATTTAACCTGCAACGCCAGCAGGACAATGTGTCAGGCATAAGAAATCAAACCGAAGCCATTGTTTCACACACAAGCACAAAAAGTGTAAAGACAAAGAGGGGTGCCAATCTCAGCGATGAGAACGAGCTGACAAAATGAATTGACAAATGCTTTCAACGGGCGGTGGCCAATGCAACTTGGGAGAACTTTTAGCAGGGCCCTACAACTATCAAGTATTCCCGCAACTCCATGTGCAATGCAGGGTTGTGGTGATCGGTGAGTCTCATGAAGGCCAACGAGTGAGAATGGCAGAAATATGCTTATGCGTACGCCCCTCCAAAGGTGACCCCCCCAAACAATAAGGGTTTCCAAAAAGCACCTTTGTGTGGTCACCTCCGGGGAGGGTTGGCCGAACATCCATTCCGTGAAGGTGCTTGCAACTGTAATATGTTTACACCCTGTGATTTGGATTGGATGGTCGGTGTCAAAAATGACACGTTACGGTTGCTTGACGCCCCATTTGCCTTAGCACGGTAGACTGTAGCCTTTTGTAGTTCTAGTCAGAGGCTGAATTTCATTGTGATTTGAATTAGTTCTGCGACCAACTGTGTTGTTTGGCTAAACCGTTGGCGTGCTATTTTCCGCCCAGTAGTTTGCCCTTGGGTTTCATCACAAAAAAACGGGTTTCCAATTTTTTTATTTCGGGCTGGACCCCCTCGACCAAACAGCACAGATTTTTAAAAGCGTTTGACCAAAGCATGTATTGATCCCCCGCACGCTTTGGTTACTCCCGAGATTTCAAAACACGGACCACCCGAAGTTATTTACCTTCAGGAGGCCACTGAATGAGTAGAGGCTCCGTATGTTTGGTCTTTGGCAAACATTAACACGCCATGGCCGTTTCGATCAACCTGCGAGGGCAAGCGGATCAGACCCTTCCATGTCTTCATCTCTCCTGCGCCCTTCCTCTTCTTCGGAGTGCTCGCAGCCTTCTTTTCGATTTGCGTTTGGATGGTCTTGTCTTCTTCTGCAACCGCCTTTGGTTTGGGATGGTTCAGACCCTTGTCTTCTTCTGCAACCGCCTTTGGTTTGGGATGGTTCAACATGGTGCAAACCAATCCTCAAAGTGGGAGGGCTCAACACGCGCCCCTCGCCCTGACCTTCATTCCATCCTCTGGTCAAGTTGTTCACACTGGATTTTTTTGAATCCAAATGCTACCCAATCATTCGGCGTGATTGAGGAATGGCATGCCAAAGAAACAGTAAGAACGGTTTGAAACATTGTTTTTTTCCAAATTGAATGGACACTGATAACTCATTTGATGTGCATGACTTTCATGAGGTACTCAAAAAAAAGGATTGTTCCAATGGGTTCTGTCTGAAAATGTGCTGTACCCTTCAAATGGTTACGTTGATTTTTGGTTGGATAATGATGATATACCAGGCAGATCCTGGCAGCTGCGTCCACCCAAGATGACCACGGACTTGGACAAACAAGATCAATAGCTTGGAACATTGACATGTTTATCCAAAAATTGGGAAATAACATGTCAATTTTGATCCATTTTCCATCAACCATATTTGTTTTATGTTTGTTGGGACATCTATGAATAGTGTGTCAAATGAATGGGACATACAGTCGATTTTTGTTGAAACCAATGAACATATACATTGTTTAACCTACTAAAAACCCATCATTTGTAGCGGGGTTTCAAAGGTTGGAGGTCTCCAATCCATGGGGGGCACCCCCAAATCATCCAAGTGTAGACAATGATTTTGCATTGAAACCCATGGTGATGGGGATTCCCCATGAATTAAGAAACCTCCATATAGCCATACTTATAGGAATTATATCCCATTTTTATAGTGTTTTTTGAAACATTTTATAAAATCTTAAAGAAACCCCAAGCGACACCCTAAAAAACTCTGATTGAAACCCTAAATGGAACCCGCAAGAAACCCTGAATGACACCCTAAATGAAACCCTAAAGAAACCTTAAAGAAACCCACATGAACGTTTGAAAACCTTGACAAGATTTCCTGATAAGAAACCCTTTATAAAACCCTAAATGAAACCCTAAAGAATACCAAAATCAAACCCTACATGAAACCCGACAGAAACCCCAAATGAAACCCTAAAGAAATGTAAATCTTAAAGAAAAAACAAGGTGGGGGGTCAAAGAAACAAGGTGGGGGGTCAAAAAAATAAGGTGGGGGGTCAAAAAAACAAGGTGGGGGGTCAAAAAAACAAGGGGGGGGTCAAAAAAACAAGGTGGGGGGTCAAAAAAACAAGGTGCCCTTTTATAGCCGTATTATACCCATTTCGTAACCTCAATACTCCGACTTTGTTGCAGGTGCTCGACTTTGTCGACCAGCAACATGGTGGGAGTCCAAGACGGGCGACGTTTCACGTCGGGGTGCCGCAAAGCGCACATCGATCCTGGGAAAACCCACCGGGGTTTCACAGGAAATGACGTACTTATAACTGCTGGATTTTCATGGATTTTCCATATATGGAGGTTTCCCAAAATGGGGGTACCCCAAAACCAGGGGGTTCAATATTAAGATTGTCAAAAACTTGGATGATTTGGGCTACCCCTATTTCAGGAAATCCCCATATTTATGTTGATTAGGGTAATGTAAAATTCAGATTAGTTTTCGATGATCTCAGTTAGATTTCAAGTATATACATGTAATATACTGTATCCCAGTTGGTGGAGGAATGCATTTCACAGTTTTCCAATCAGACACACCTGGCATCCGACGACAAACTGGCCGGTGGGTGAGCACGAACATGTTTCGGTTTCACGATGAAAAGAGAAACAAATGATTAGTGAGCACGGCACCAATTCGTCGATTTACACAATTGTTCCATGATCCACGGAAACATGTGTTGAACAGGGCCGATAACATGCAATTCTCACCAAACTGTCATACATGAAAAGAAGTATCATCAGGTCCTAGGAAAAGTTCATGGGGTTCTAACCACAACAGTCCCTTGGAAGGGGTATAGACTCGTATAGACTCCTTGCAAATCCTTGTGTTTGTGCCCATTGGAGGGAAACATCAGACGTCCTCATTCCTGGGTGCCATGGGACTATGTTCAGTCATGGGGGGGATCCTAAGTCATGGGGGTACCCCCAATTCTCATGACATAAACCATCCAGCGATAAAGGGGTACCCCCATGACTATGGAAACCACCATCTGTCAGCTTATTGGGTTGCAGTGCCAAGCACTTTTTTAGCTTGCAGAATATCCAAGATTGACCATGATAGTCCCAAAATGGATTTCCACAGTAGCTTGCATCCAGGCACGCCGTTGCTCTCAGTATTCATAGTATGATAGCGTAGTTGTCCGAAATCCCAAAGTGGCCGAACATTTCGGACTGGTTAATTGTTTTGATTGAGCCAGATTAGTTGCACCTGTCTATATTTATATATATATATATACATTTACACGCACATGTAGACTTATCATCATCATCACCCATATGTCAATCGGACTCTCAATAACCGTCATGATGAATCCGAAAGTAAGCAGCATGCCCACTGGCCATTTTGGCCAGGTAAACGTTGCTTTGGTAACTTTGGTAGTTGAATTTCTCATCCTTTTTCAATGTTGATAGAGGAATATACTATCCTATTTTTTCCGAGGTTCACTTTTTTAGCTGTGTTGTTATAAAGAGTTCCCCAGTTATGCCTGTTGGTTTACATTCATCCATCCAAGTCTATATATATATACACACATATAATATCCATCATGAACCCATTTGCTGGCCCAGTCAAAACGCAACTTATATACCTATGGTTTGGGGTCGCCACTTTGCAACATTTACATGTTATTGTATAAAATTATATATATATACATCTCATTAATAGCAGCCCCTTTTTATGTCACCATTATATTCCCAATAGATCATCTAAGTTCCTGTTCAGATCCAAGCTCTGCTTTTGGGTGTTTCCACACTGGTTGGGCCGCCATGAAACCACAATGTTTGCTCCGAAAGAAGCGCCGTTACGAATGGTTTGCACGAAGATCGAATCATATCGAATGGTTTGCTGGAAAAGCCACCCTTTAGTCCGATGCTTTTGCTGTAGAAAAAAACCTCCAGTGCAGAGATTTCCCAGCTAGATATGTTTGATTACTGAAGGGTACCGCACACTGCCAATGTTGGTTGCTCAAATCCCGTGAAAATCACAGTTCAGATGTTAAAATCCCATCTAAATCGCATTATTTGACGGTTAAATCCCATTAAAGTTCCATAAACATCGCATTTCTCATGGTTAAATCATGCGAGCAATCTTATGAAAAGCCACCATCTCTAATGCTTTTTTATCCTGCATTTTCAGAGACACGGCTCGGTTGGATTTCAGGTGTCACCTTGCATTGCAGCTTCTTCGAGGCGAAATGACCGAAAATTAACCAGAAAATGGTGAAGCAATTTTTCACCCCGGATGAATAAACCGTGGCTGGTTGGTGGTTTCAAACATGAATTTTATTTTCCATCATATTGATAATCCTCCCCATTTGACTAGTTTTTTTTTCAGAGGGGTTGAAACCAGCAACCAGATGGCGTATTAATTACGGGGGTAGTCCCCCAATAGTCATGATTTGATGCTTAAATGGTACCTTCCCAATTAAACAGCCGTTTGGGGTTTATTAATCCAGGGTTGACATTATGTTCATTTACCCAGAAACAGTTGGGAGTTGAAGCACCAAATACGCCCTCACATCTGGCGGAAGGCTAACCTCCTCACAGGAGCCGTCGAACGACTCGTTGTTTCTGATTTTTGCTGACCGACGAACGAAAGTATTTGGTGGTGAGAGAGAAATTGGGCACTTTCCATCACTTTCCATCTTGTATAGTTGGCCAAAGATATATGATTTTATTGGATGATCCTACTGTATAAGCACCAAAAGACTCTTAGATTCCAAACATTGTTGCAAGATATATTGATCTTTTGTGGCTGCATAGTTTCCACCCCCCACCCTCAGGCGTGCTCCAAGCGCCACGAATTATGAGCCCTCATTAGCCTATGGTTGTGAATACATAGATAACAGTAGCTACAGGGTGGTGCCCGATAGTTAGCAAAGTGAGTTTCAAAACATCAACAACTTGGGATTATTGGGAGATATTTATAGTTAATGATGGTTGTAAAATGGTTTCAAATATAAACGCAATTATATAATTGGCAGGCAGCACCCAACGTTGGAGGATTGTTCTACTCAACTATCTAGCGCTTAGGAGGGAGCTAAGGAGCTATGCGTATCCATATTTGGTATTGAATGGGGAGTCAAGGAGCTAGACTTTCTTAACCACATGATAGTCACTATATGGGGGATTGTCATTATCCATGATGTCAATGGATCGGTGTTGGTCAAAAATCTTAACCGGATTTTCCATGGATTTTCCCATGAAGTATTGGTATTGCCTGGCTTCCTATATTGTTTCCCTTGAGCCAATCCATTGATTATGGGAATCCACTTCTAAACCAACCAGTATTTCATGGAATGATGCAACGCCAAGCTGACCCCCGATGCGCAGGTCTACTTGGACAAGGTGAGAGACTTTTTGAGCAAAGCTCCCAATGACTTCGTGAAGGCTGTCCGGGATGGAAAGGAAATTGCCCACAGAGATCGAATTCATGGACTCAAAATAAGTCCAATTTTTTGGGGATGAACCCTTTTTCGGGCACTTTGAATGTGGAAAATAATGACCATCACGAAACATTTTCCGAGAATTGATGGCGGATTTACCACGTTAGACGGTTAGACTCAACCCAGAAGCCAGTTCATCGGTAGTGGGAAAGCCATGGGATACTAAAAGTACAACTTGTAAATGTGGATATGTTCATCATAACCAGCTAAAAAAAGAATTGCGGGGTATCAGTGTATATTATATATCTAAATATATATATATACATAATCCCCATATGCTCCATGTATGGAATGTTAACCTACATTTGGGTGAATGTGTGGGTGAATGTTGGTAAATATTCCAGCACCATGGAGCATTGGGGATCTCCATCATAACCTCCAAATGGATACCCTTTGGTAAACAGAACAATGGAAAATCACCATTTGTATCCATTTGTAATGTATAAAAATCAACTATTAATGGGCCATTTTCACTGTGGTGCAACTTGGGTTTACATGGGGTTTTACCATTTTCACTATGTCCCATTTCAAATCTTCATCAAAAAATCGCCCGCGTTGGCGGAAATTCTTGATGCTTCCCCCGAAACTTGGTGTGACTTCCGGTTTCCAGTAATGCGGTTGCTCCATGTATGGTATATTTACCTACATTTGGGTGAGTTTTAGGGCAAATGTTGGTAATTATTCCATACATGGAGCGTAGGGGTAATAAACCCGCCCATTTATTAGTTTATACCACCCATGAATGGTGAAATTGCGGAGGGTTTATTATTGTTATGACCACATGATGTTAAATTACGAGAGAGTATTGCTGGTGATATCCCGATGATATCCTCATGGTAGCCTCAAATCAGGAGTCACCAGGGGGCGACCTGTTGAGCTACCGGAAGGTGCGGACGGTAAGAGGTTGATTGGTGAGCCGTTGAAAACTAGTTATAAGATGGTTATATATTAATATATGTATATATACGGTAGTGGAGGCATCTTAAGAATTTCATCCCCCGTTCATACTATTATTCACGACCACCATACTATGGTCCCAAATATGTGTACCTTTCTACCATGGTTTCTGGGGGGGTCTGATATTAGGGGGCAGGGATTATCACCCATGTATATAATGGGAAAGTCGATGGCGTAAATACCCAAGTGCGATATGTGTCTTGTCGTACCTGAATCAGCTGGGAAAATGTGGCATCTTCTGTTAAGATGTTCAGATAGTGTGTGTGTGTGTCCATGTTCAAATAGGTGAATGGTGAGCCGTTACAGAAAGTTTGGACGCCAGGAAATATTCATGACATGCTGGGCTTTAAATGAATTTAAAGAGACCGGTGTATGTAGCCATCTCAGCCAATTTGAAGAGCCACCATCCTTGGGAATACAAACAAGAACTGAACCAACTCTGAAACCTGGGTAGCTTGCAGAAGGGAAGCAGACATGTGTGGGAAATATTTAGCATTTAAAATTGCTGTTTACCTTCGGTATTTACCATTAAACCATTGTATACCATGTTAAATGGAAAGTGATTCAGAATTCGTCTCACTATTTCACTAATTGTTCTTCTCTTAGCACCTGGTCAGTGATCCAACTTGTGACAGTATCACCACGGCGTTTCCATGATCCAAATTAAATGATGTGAATCTTTCTCATATTGAATTCATAGCACCAAATACCACCAAAGAACATCATAACAATATATATATAGTCTACTTATTGTTACGGAGATAGTATACCTAAGTCTATACCTAACAGACTATATCTTGTATAGCTGTTGCTGTTATATATATATAGTCTACTGACGTTTGTTCGTTAACAGCAAGCTGCCAAGCGAGCGCCGGAGATCACCACCGCCAGCGAAGCTTTGCAGATCTTACGACTGGGGACGCTCGGCGATGCGCGGAAAAGGATTTGCCCGAAGTAAATGGCCTATTCAATGGGAAAAATCATGGGAAAATCATGGGAAAATCATGGGAAATACATTATAAATGGTGATTTATAGCCTGTTATAGCTGAGAAACATCATCTTCACATTGGGGGATTTCCAGCATTGTTTGATTGCATCAAGACAAGGACTAGGTCAACCTTGCAGATGGTTTTTTTTCCTGGGGATCTAAAACGCTTTGATTTCCCATAGAAGTCAGTGAGACCACCAAAAGGTGCCACGGACATCCAGCCGGGGGGGACGAAAGAGAGGGCCCCCGCCTGGAGCTCTGTACCCTTCCGACTTTTTCTCGTGAGAATACAACAGCAACAGATGTCCGACCTGCTCACAGGGATTCGCGGGGAAACACTATACATATCCAGGGAAATGGTGATATAACCAGCGCAGAACATGCGATTTTTGCTGGGAATATTTTTTCGGCAAAGCAGCTAATACAAACGAGTATGCCGGTATGCCATGAAAAATGGGGATGGGTACTGGGTACTGTAGACCCCCAATATATGGCCAATTCAAGGTGGGATAATGATGATTGCTGTAATCATCAAATGTGGAGAGATGGTTTTGGAAACATTGGGAGACAAACGAGAAATAGAAGAGAACTGTTACACCGTTTATAAAAGGAAATCTAAGTTGCTACTCCCCCCAAAGGTAGGCATACAATCAACTCTCCCATTTACATGGCAAAACCCTGGAAGCCATGGGTTCAGAAAGTTGCTCATTCCAGCTCTTCGGACAACTGGATTCCAATCGGGACATATTGGGAATTTCATCATCCCAACTGACTAATATTTTTCAGAGGGGTTGAAACCACCAACCAGTAATCAATACGGCGTTTCAATGTCAAATTGCTGGGGAATGGAGGCTTCCTTCAACCGCCGGGATGCCCGATTTAGCCAAGGCTAAAGCTTCGCGTGGCGGCCAATACCAGACTGAACGAGCACTCGCGGGGATGCTCAACTTGTCAATTCTTTGATGCTGAGTTGAAACAAAGGAAACCAATCTGGATGGGTAGCCGAATCTGAACTACTTTAACATACTTTAACTGTTTGGCTTTTGTTGCGATGATCTAGTTCAGACCATTCCCTTTTTAATCGAGTGGTGTTTTGTTGGGGGATAGACCTTTAATCGTTGCCACCCATATGCCACTCAAAGTCAAAGATCGGGGAAATCAACGAACTATCGTTTGCATTTTTTTATCAGCCCATCAAAGGGTAGTTTTACCTATGAAAAATGTATGTATATAATTGTATATATATATATACTGGTTGGTGGTCTGGAACATGAATTGTATGTTCCCATAATATATGGGTTGTCATCCTTCCCAACTGACGAACTCCATGATTTTTCAGAGGGGTAGGTAGGTATACCACCAACCAGTATATATCTATATAATTCTATATATGGGGGTGTCCTAAAATAGGGCTACTCCCAAATAATCATCCATTTGTAGACGGTATGTTCCATGAATTGTTCACCATCAACAGAAACTGATCGGCTTCGCATCTGATAAAACCATCCGTGGTTTTTCGTAATTATATAAATATATAATTAAATAATTATATAATGATGTAATTATATAATTATATATATGGCCTTATATGGTACAATACCTCCAATTTAGGATCCTGAAATTACCATTGATAATTATATAATTTTATATGTATGTATATATATATATGGCCTTATATGGTACAGTACCTCCAATTTAGGATCCTGAAATTTCCATTGATAATTATATAATTATATGTATATATATATATGGCCTTATATGGTACAGTACCTCCAATTTAGGATCCTGAAATTACCATTGAGAAATTATAACGACCTCACTGTGACCTCACTGGAATCATGGTTAATAAGGGAAGTCATGCCCAAATGGACTTAATTCAGGTTAGTGAAATATTATAATTTACCCAGATATATAACATTGTATGACCATTTAGTAAATTTCGTACTTGTACGGGTGTTTAATATGAAGGATGGAATTATTCAAATGATTCTGCCCAAAAACATCCAAAACAGGTCGCGGTCGCACGCCATCTTCTCGTTGCTCCTGTTGGGGTGGCTCAGGGCCTTTAACCATCCATAGGGACGGGGAAATATGTGGGTTGACCCACTTGTAACTTTGGTTTGTGCTTTTCTATCCAGCTTAAAGGCTGAGAATCACTAAGATGTTTGCAGCGTATCCAATATAGCCATTTGCATGTACATGCAGAAGTTACTTGTGATGGAAACACGCCGGGAATTCAAAATATTTGATTTAGTACAACTGATTCAAGTTGCTTGAGTTTTGCGGTTGGTCTTAGAGATCTCAATCATGTTGTGTGGGAGTCTTTGTCAATACACTTCCACACTTTGGCCTGTTGCTGCAACATTGCTATAGTCAAGATCGGATACTCTGTACCCTACAGAAAGGATGGTGAATAATTACCCAACATGGTATGCAGTTTTAAATGGAGTTAGTTAAGTGGTTAAGAAGTGGGCTTTAAGCCATGAAATATACCCATTTATGTTTTGGGTTCCAAATCTGTCACATAACCAACCTTGGCCCATCTAATTGAGATTAAACTAAGTACTTTAGAATCCAATAATATCCGATATCCCCTCGGTTCCTGGATGTTCCTGGGTAGATTCGAGGCGTCAAGAAGACTCCGGGATTCGGCAGTGCTGCCGGGCATGGTTTTTGGCCAGGGGCATGTGCTAAATTCCATGGGCTCAGAGACCCAACATGGTGATTTCCATGGGATTTAACCAACAAAAATGGTGATGTCCATGGGATTTAACCAACAAACATTGGTGAATTCCATAGTTTAACCATGTTCAATCTGCAAGAATAGGGAGGGTTTCTAAGAAGGGATGATGATGATGATGATGATGATGATGAAATTGACCAACAAACCTGGCGGTATTAACCAACAAACCAATGAGCTTTATAGTGGGCATATATATAATATATATATATATTAACCAGCAATATGAGATGGGTTTTTCCGGAGATGAGGTCTGCAGTTTTTTTACCCAATTTATGACTCTATGTTTTGGGCTAAATGATATGACTCAAAGCGCTGGATTTGGGGGTCGTCTCGTTTCAAAAGAAGCCTGTCTCTGGTGAGATGATACGGAAGCAACTCTGGTCACAATAGATGAGTAGATGAGACTGCAGGAGCTAGGGGCATCCATAGTCCCTATGTTGGGGAGCCACGGAGCGACTAGCTCCTTGGATACCCTCATTGCATGTTGCCCCATGTATCTGCTGTCCAGATGTTGACAAGGTGAATATGCATATGTGTATAATACACAAAGCTTTGTTCATTGCTTGTCAAAAGAGATGGGTTCTCCTCCCACTTATAAATAGGATCGTACGTATGTAAGTCACTAGCGGGCGGCCTATGTATGAGTGCAATCACAGCATTCATATACCTTTAGGCCTATATCCCAAAAATCATATCACCATGTTTGCTCCAAAATGCCAAGAAAACGATATGATCACTTGTTGATGACACGACCCGAGTTCCATTGTATCATCCATGATACTCCCATTTTCTATGCGTTAAATCCATTCAAAAAAAAGTAGTACAATCTGGAAATTTAGCGTAGCTCTGTAAAATCACCATTTAGAATAAGTAAATCACATAACTGATCATAAATCATCCTAATTAATCATAAAGCATCACAAATCATCATGAATAATATAAATCATCAGAAATCATCACGAATCATCATATATCATACATCATCATGCTTCCGAGTGAGAATCGAATTCCGACTCAATTCGAAGCTGTTTTTTAAATCCACCGTTGGAATCATAGCATTTGTCCTCCAAAATACTAAGACAGCAGTACACTGTTTAATATGATCACTTGTCAGTTACATGTCCTGGCAAGTATCCTCCATGATATTCGTTAAATGTTCCATTTGTTAAATCTGAAAAAATCCCTGTTGATTACCCGGCAATGCAACGTCGTAACGTAGCTCTGGACAATAAGAATTTGTCATACGGATTATCATTTGTTTCATCTATCAAGGGGCTGTAATTTATACCATAGAAAAATGTAACAAAAAAACAGAGGGTAAAAGCATTGCTGGTTTATAAATCCATGAACTATAGTTACTAGCCCCCTAATCAATCCTTGTTCTTGTAGTGAATAACCTCAACTTGAGTTTTGTTGCTCCATTAAACTACTGTTATAAGTCTACTATAGTCTATTACACTATTCTGGTTGGTGGTTTGGAACATTTTTTATTTTTCCATAATATATGGGAATAATCATCCTTCCCAACTGACTTTCATATTTTTCAGAGGGGTAGGTATACCACCAACCAGCAACTATTAACCATATATTAACCATATATTAACCATATATTAACCATATATTAACCGTATATTAACCATATACCATATATTAACCATATATTAACCGTATATTAACCGTATATTAACCATATACCATATATTAACCATATATTATCCGTATATTAACCATATATTATCCGTATATTAACCATATATTAACCATATATTAACCATATATTAACATTTTTTCAACCATATATTAACCATATATTAACCGTATACTAATCATATATTAACCGTTTATTAACCATATATTAACCGTATATTAACAATATATTAACCGTATATTAACCATATATTAACCGCATATTAACCATATATTAACCATATATCAACCGTATATTAACCATATACTAACCATATATCAACCGTATATTAACCATATATTAGCCATATATCAACCATATATAAACCGTATATTAACCATATATTAAACGTATATTGGCTGTATATTAACCATATATATTAAACGTATATTAACCATATATTAACCATATATTAAACGTATATTAACCGTATATTAACCATATATTAACCGTATATTAACCATATACCATATATTAACTATATTATCCGTATATTAACCATATATTAACCATATATTAACCATATATTAACCGTATATTGACCATATATTAACCGTATATTAACCATATATTAACCATATATTAACCGTATATTAACCATATATTAACCATATATTAACCGTATATTAACCGTATATTAACCATATATCAACCGTATATTAACCATATACTAACCATATATTAACCGTATATTAACCGTATATTAACCATATATTAACCGTATATTATCCATATATTAACCGTATATTAACCATATATTAACCGTATATGTTCCATATATTAACCGTATATTAACCATATATTAACCGTATATTAACCATATATTAACCATATATTAACCATATATTAACCATATATTAACCGTATATTAACCATATATTAATTTAACCATATATTATCCATATATTAACCGTATATTAACCGTATATTATCCATATATTAACCATATACTAACCATATATTAACCGTATATGTTCCATATATTAACCATATATTAACCATATATTAACCATATATTAACCATATATTAACCATATATTAACCATATATTAACCGTATATTAACCATATATTAACCATATATTAACCATATACTAACCATATATCAACCGTATATTAACCATATACTAGCCATATACCAACCGTATATTAACCATATATTAGCCATATATCAACCGTATATTAACCATATACTAACCATATATCAACCGTATATTAACCACATATTAGCCATATATCAACCGTATATTAACCACATATTAGCCATATATCAACCGTATATTAACCATATACTAACCATATATCAACCGTATATTAACCATATATTTGCCATATATCAACCGTATATTAACCATATACTAACCATATATCAACCGTATATTAACCATATATTAGCCATATATCAACCGTATATTAACCATATACTAACCATATATCAACCGTATATTAACCATATATTAACCATATATTAACCATATATTACCATATATCAACCGTATATTAACCATATATTAGCCATATATCAACCGTATATTAACCATATACTAACCATATATCAACCGTATATTAACCATATATTAGCCATATATCAACCGTACATTAACCATATACTAACCATATATCAACCGTATATTAACCATATATTAACCATATATTAACATTTTTTCAACCATATATTAACCATATATTAACCGTATATTAACCATATATTAACCGTATATTATCCATATATTAACCGTATATTAACCGTATATTATCCATATATTAACCGTATATTAACCATATATTAACCGTATATGTTCCATATATTAACCGTATATTAACCATATATTAACCATATATTAACCATATATTAACCATATATTAACCGTATATTAACCATATATTAATTTATATTAACCATATATTAACGTATATTAACCATATATTCATATATTAACCATATATAACCATATATTCAACCATATATTAACCATATATTAACCATATATTAACCATATATCAACCATATATACTAACCATATATCAACCATATATTAACCATATATTAACCATATATTAACCATATATTAACCATATATTAACCATATATTAACCCATATATCAACCATATATTAACCAATATATTAACCATATATATAACCATATATTAACATTTTTTTAACCATATATTAACCATATATTAACCGTATACTAATCATATATCAACCGTATATTATCCATATATTAACCGTATATTAACCATATACTAACCATATATCAACCGTATATTAACCATATATTAGCCATATATCAACCGTATATTAACCATCTACTAACCATATATCAACCGTATATTAACCATACTAACCATATATCAACCGTATATTAACCATATATTAGCCATATATCAACCGTATATTAACCATATACTAACCATATATCAACCGTATATTAACCATATATTAGCCATATATCAACCGTATATTAACCATATACTAACCATATATCAACCGTATATTAACCATATATTAACCATATATTAACCATATATTAGCCATATATCAACCGTATATTAACCATATACTAACCATATATCAACCGTATATTAACCATATATCAACCGTATATTAACCATATACTAACCATATATCAACCGTATATTAACCATATATTAGCCATATATCAACCGTATATTAACCATATATTAGCCATATATCAACTGTATATTAACGTTCCGCCAGACGGAAGCTGACCTTGGTGGACCTCGCAGGCTCTGAAAAGGTGGGGCGGAGGGCGGCGAGCCGGCGGAGCCGTGGTTCCATATAGGCCATGGTTCCGTAGGTGTAAGTGGGGATATCATAGGCTATTCTTATGAGGCTTAATTTTCATATAGTCCCCATATTTACCATATGGGTATGGATCAATACCTATACATACCATTTTTAGGGGGATGAACATCCATTTACCAGCTATTTTGATGTGAACTACAGGGGTACAAGGTTTTGACACACTGCCATATGAATAATCCCATATATAAGTATATCATATAGTAGTGAATCCCATAATTTTTTTAGGGGATATTTCAGTGGGGATATTCCATATATAACTGGGGGTATCATTTATGGGGATGCACCATATTTTGTGGGACATTGTGGACATTTTCCTGGCAAAGAATGGACGGTGCTTGAAGGCTAGGGAAAATGTCCATTATATTTGGATGGTTGAGCCATGGTTACCGGTAGATTTTCTCACATCCTTGAAATCCAATCCAATATTGTCCCCCAAACTAGTAAGTTTGGATGATGGCGTTGCACTCAGCAAATAACTACAATTAGGACATATGTGTTTAAACGCCTAGATTTGCTTGAGGTCATTTTGTACATTCCCAATGGACATGTTCCACATTGTTCCACACTTTGCAATGTTTGCGTATACAATTCCGTACATGGTATCATTTACAGTACATATGTGCAATCATATTCATTTTTTTGTGTTTGTTTGCCAAGTAATACGGAGTGCGTCCACATTAAAAAATTATCGTGTGATTGGTACTGGATGAAACCATCAATTTTGTTGTAAGTGATCCGTGGCATTCCCTGAGAAACTTCTTTGGTCCTTTCCTGGTTCCATTAAACGCAAGTGGGCAGTGCTATTTTCATCTATTTTCCATGGTTCGAATATTTTCCCTGGGTTCCACATGTGTGGCATAATTGTCTATTTGTTTTTACCAGGAAAAGCAACCGACCACCAGTGTTCAAGATCCCTGTTGGTTGCTAATTTGTTCGGAGATTGTACTACCCAATACGGAGATTATCATGATCCAGAAGCTGGCAATCCCTGTTAGCCAACCAGTATGCCACTCAGTATGCTAAGCAATCATTCCAGTACAAAGTACTCTTTTATACTGGGAATCCATTATAATAGCATAATGGATTGCTATTACATGGTTGGTTTAATATTATGTTATACTAATTAGTTAATTATATTATTTAACCATTATTATAACTGTTATATTCATTGGGATGCATGGTTGGTTAATTATGTTAATTGGGATTCCTAAGAAAGTCCAACGATGAAATGACAGAGGATTTTGACCATTGCTCAGGTGTGGCAGAGCGGTTCTGTCGGCGTTTGAAGCCTCAGTGGATAACTGGGAGCGTAGAAACACACAGGCAATTCATAGGGTACCAACCATAAATGCCAAGAGTTGATGAAGATGATTCTTGATTCCCATTGGTTAATCCATTATTTTTTGGGGGAATCTATGGGGAATATCTTTTTTTTTTGGGTGTCGCAAATCCGCAAATCCAAGTGGTGGCTGGGATGAATATCTACCCCCAAGACTAAGCCCTGGAAGCTGCTCCTCTCAGGGGAGGTTGGAAGAGGCCAAAAAGATCAATTCCTCCTTGAGTGCGTGTGGGGCCCTGGGCATCCTGTGCATCCTGGGCCACCTGGGTACATCCTGGAATCGTATGGAATCCATGTCGAAAAATTCAGGGCTGAAAATTTTCATATCGTCCCCATATTTGCCATATTTTACAATGTATGTATCACGTGCCTTTCTTTTTCCGCTTGCGGATTTTGTTCGAAGTCGATTCATAGATTCAGCCGTTTTTGAAGGATGCCAACTGATGCCAAATTACGTATCGCTGGAGTAGGATAATCTAGGAAGGCTTGATTGAAGTTTTGGAATGATATGACATATTTCCTGCAGATGTCCAATTATTGTTATGTATGATGTACTGTAGCCGTTTTATCAGGGTAATCATTCTGTCTTATTCCAAAGACCCTAAACCCTAAACCCAGAAATGATAAGATGCCTAGATATCCGAAGAAAAATGTGAATATCTTTATTTGTATCTGGTTTATGGTCAGACCCGTGTAGGTCATAAACCTAGTGGATTGGGTATGGGGACATGCTACGCGAAGCGGCATCGGCGGGACATGGGCTACGAAAAAAGTTCTTCCAAAACGGGGAACGCAAGCTTCGCGTCCTGCTGGCATTTGTTATAGAAATATTGTAATTTACCCCGATAACATTGGGTAAAACCCCATTGGCATTTGACCAGCTGGTACAACACCCAGCCGCTGCTCAAAGTTAGAGCTCCCATTAGCCCAAATTTGAGCGCCATGGCCATTGCCACATCAACTTCTGCTTTACACAAATGTATAACATAATATAAAATAAAATGATATAATATAAAACAATATAATTTCATATCATATGATATATAATATGATTTCATATAATATACTGTAATATGATATTATATGATAGGCGCTCTTGATTTAAGTGTACCATTTGTTCATGTGTATAGTCTATTATCTACAATACATGGCAATATATATATATATATTGTATGATATTGTATACCAAGAATTGTAGAGTCAAATCTGTTCATAGCAGTTTTAGATCAGTTTACTGTAGATCACTTAATCTGCAATCGACATATCGGTGTTTAATGTTAGCTATACCAGTTTATATCTGGTATAGTCATCGCAGATGATCTACCCAGTCAACTTCGTTAAGTCACCCCAAGGCTGGGTCACGTGATTGAAGCCTTGGCGGATCGCCGCGCGCCACTGGGCTTTTATCAGGGAGGCTGGGAGGCAGATGGATTGGTTATTTATATAATATATACATATATAATCGTAATACAAATCATCATCAACATCATCATCATCATCATCATCAGATGCTTTACCATCTAGTTTCCCTATGATATGTGTTCACCATAAATGCTTGGGTTTTTATCATGGCAAACAGGATTGCTCCAAGGCATTAAAGGTAAATGATAGCCACTGTTGGGGGGTAAATTGGTCATTTTACCTCTATATCTAGTCAATTTACTCCCCTTGTACCTGGGGTGGTGGGAACAACCCGGTAGATTGGCCATGGTTACTGCTTAGTAACCACGTAAAGCGGGATGTATCATGCGTTATCACTCTCTTACGAACCAACTAAGAACCATAACCCAAGATTAATGGGTGGGTAGAAAATATCACCAGTTAGATTGAATGGGTTTCATTTCTATGTTTTTTTGCGTGTTATAACATGTTATAACCCGTTCGAGTAAGAACTTGCGCATTTGCATGCGTCCAGTTGCATGGGGTCAGTAAGCACAAAGGAGGGCCCCGGAAGCGCCACCTTGGAGGATTTTGGGGTGCTCCATGTGGGAAATCCCTACGGGGAGAAACGCGATGATGAACAAAAGCAATCAACCTACGGGGAGAAACGCGATGATGAACAAAAGCAATCAACCAAAGGCGATTGGAGCCCATTGTTGATGGATCAATGTCTCTAGAAACGGGTCATTTGTATTCATTTCTTGGATTTTGAATATACCTGAGCATGAATGTGTCAACCTCCGGTTGTGAGCACTTGCTTGATATAAGATATATAAGCCTTCCCCTGTTTCATGGCCCTATCCAGACTAGCAGCTAGACCGCGAATTTATCGACCAAAAAAATACGACAAGATCTGGCTGGACAATTGGATGAAAGACAAAATTACAAGGACACCCCTATATATGAGGAAAACGATGATTTCCTTTCAAAAAGCACTCAAACCAAATGATGATATATTAGTTTACCCCAAGATCTCCGAGTTTGTCACAGATTTTCACCATTTTTTGAATATGGGATCATACGGGTTTGTGTGGAATTTGTTTATACCCCAAAATCGTATGATCAAAGAAATATAAGAAATCATGTTCTCATAAGCCATCACCATTTTCAGACAAATCCATATGTGGTTGGCCATTGTTTGCCATTTTTCTCCCTGTTGTGTTTTTTCAAGTTTTCTGACCAAACAATTAAGGCATGTGCCCTTTCGTGATTCCCGACTCACGCGGATCTTAGAGGAATCTTTAGGTGCGGCGCGCGATTAAACTGAGCAATGAACCATGGTGAGTTCTATGGTTTACTGTTTGTGGATAAACAATGGATACTGGATGATGTTGGTATGTAAGCCGTGATTTTCAATGGTGAACTAATGGTTAGTCCCCACTGTTCATGGTCTATATGGTGATTTCCTAGCATGAGCAAAGGGGATTCACCATCAAACATATTGATATAATGGGGATACGATGGGGGTATAAAGGAGAAAATGATGATCCGTACCCTCTGGTAATTTGCCATAATCTGCTGCGGAAAATGCACGCTGATAGATGATTTATAGATGATTTATATTATATATTATATATTATATTATATCAAACATTGTGATTTTCCATAGCAAACATTGTGATTTTCCATAGCTATACTAATAAAAATTCAATTACCAGAGGATAGGTGAACATACTCATGGAGATTCCGAGCTCATGGATGGTCCCCAACACGTACCCTCTGGTTATGTCAAAATAGCTACTGAAAATGACCATAAAAATAGTTGATTTTCCCATTAAACATAGTGATTGTCCATAGTTTTTCTAACATAACTATGGAAAATCACCATGTTTTGGAAAATCCACTATTTCTATGGTCATTTTCAACTGTTGTTTTGACATGACGAGGGGGTAAAGGGTGGAATAGCCCCTTGAAAATCTGTTTGATATCCTTCAATTATCAACCAACTGGGGTTTTTGAAGCTCAACTGTGGAGTCGCGAGTAGGTAAACAGATTATAGCCCAGTCATATCTGGGGTGCAAATGGGTTCTAGACCACTTACACTACTACAACTGCTAGAACTGGTTGAGGCCTGAAATTATTTGGTTGATTGAGGGAAAGTTCATTCGGCCGAAGCTGGATCTAGTTGTCACGATCTGATATGACAAGCCCGTGGAACCCCTATGAAAAAAGGAGTACAAACCGAGCTTTAGACGGGTTTGTCCGAAAAATTGGTATTGGCCCTTGACATACATAGCCATTGAACGGCCAAATTGGGATTCTTTTGTTGGTCTTTGAAGGGACCTTCAATCAATAAAGATTGTGGTGGAACACATTTAACATCTGGTTATTTAACATAGCCATGGAAAATCACCATGTTTAATAGGTAAACCATCTATTTGTATGGGCCATCTATACCAAGCAATTTCGGGATGGATATATTGAATTCTATTGATATATACTAGATACATTTCCCAAAATCATCAAAACAGTCAAAACACCATCACTGGTTGTTGGTTTGGAACATTTTTTATGACTTTCCATATATTGGGAATTTCATTTTATCCCAACTGACGAACTCTCCATCATTCTTCAGAGGGGTAGGGCTCAACCACCAACCAGATCAATATATCCCATGAAAATGAAATGATCCATAGATCAATGGGAAATCCAGGATCCAACAGATGGAAGTACTGTACCATATTGTTGGCCATATTTTGTGGGGATATTCCCTTACATAGGCCTTGAATGAAATGGCCATTGAATAGAAAAAAAAACTTCCAAGAACTCCATCTTTGGAAGTCGTCCCGTCCATTGCAGGCGGTAACTGTCGCACCACCCTACTGGTGGCCTGCTCGTGCGGATGCTTAACCATGGGAAAATGGTGGATTTATGAGGCGTATTACATGAGAATACATGATACTACAGTATTGATACTACATGATACTGCATGAAATTACTATAGTTATATAATATCTATATATATATGATATATCTATATATATATATGATATCTATATATATATGTATGATTATATATGAATATCATGTGGATTTCAACAAGTCAACTTATAACTGGGCCTCACCTTTTTTCTTGGAAGATCTGGGACATGGAACCAGGAAATGCGGCTGGAAAAGTGTGATTTTCTTCAGAGTTGTCCCTTTCATTTTATCGGGAAACACGTGGAGAATTGCGTGAAAAAACCAGTTCTTCAGTTCTTCACTGGGGGGAACAAGAACGGGGATGCAACATAAGCGATTCAACGATTCAACAAAAAAAATGTGGGTATTTAATATCCCCCATCTGTAGATCATGTTCCCATATAAATCATTCAAGCCTCCATTGATATAGAGGGGATTTTCCAGCTAGCCATGGTTTTTCTTAGTTTGACTATCAGAGAGTAAATGTTTTGCCCCAGCAAGAAAGGATTCTTCGACATACGGTGTTCTCTGGCACTCTGTGGTGTTTGACAGGCCCAAAAATGATGACAAGACCAGCGACGAATGACAATAAGACAAACTCGTGCCATAGACAAACTGAAATAAAGAAACACCTATCAACTGGTGTTTGTCTGTTTACTGTAACTAAAGCAATAGTTCAGCTTGAACTTTCAGCTTGATCTCTATCGCCCCCATTTTTAGGACCCTGGATGAAATCCGCATGGTCATTTTTGGTCGTTTCGTCGTATGTTTCGGTGCACTGAAACTGACGACCTGTCAGCTGTTGGCGCGAATAGGGACCTCTGAAATCCACACCGTACCAGCCAGATACGTTCAGAGTTTGAATATCTAGGTCCCCCTAATCTAATTCTAGTCTGAAGTCTGGACAATCTGGACATGGAATCCACATCTGTGGAGGAATTGCATGTGAAAAATTCCCAGGAGTTCATAAATTCTCCACTTTGGCTGTCCCCTAATCTTCGGATTTTTGTTCCCGAGAGCGTCTGAGCGCAGGGTTCTTCCAATAGTGGGGGTCTGTAAAACATCTTCTCATCTTCACATCCTCTCATCTTCACACCTTCCCATCTTCACATCCTCTCATCTTCACATCTGCTCATCTTCACATCCTCTCATCTTCACATCCTCTCATCTTCACATCTGCTCATCTTCACACCTTCCCATCTTCACATCCTCTCATCTTCACACCTTCCCATCTTCACATCTTCTCATCTTCACATCTGCTCATCTTCACATCTGCTCATCTTCACACCTTCCCATCTTCACATCTGCTCATCTTCACACCTTCCCATCTTCACATCTCCTCATCTTCACATCTGCTCATCTTCACATCTGCTCATCTTCACATCTGCTCATCTTCACATCTGCTCATCTTCACATCTGCTCATCTTCACATCAGCTCATCTTCACATCTGCTCATCTTCACATCTGCTCATCTTCACATCTGCTCATCTTCACATCTTCTCATCTTCACATCCGCTCATCTTCACATCTGCTCATCTTCACATCTGCTCATCTTCACATCTGCTCATCTTCACATCTGCTCATCTTCACATCTGCTCATCTTCACACCTTCTCATCTTCACATCTGCTCATCTTCACATCTGCTCATCTTCATCTTCATCTTCACACCTGCTCATCTTCACATCTGCTCATCTTCACATTTGCTCATCTTCACACCTTCCCATCTTCTCATCTTCACATCTGCTCATCTTCACATCTGCTCATCTTCACATCTGCTCATGTTCACATCTGCTCATCTTCACATCTTCTTATCTTCACACCTGCTCACCTTCTCTCTCACGCCTTCTTTTTATCTTTCTCTCTTAAGGCCGAGGGTGGTGCCGGCGGCGAGTCACGAAACGTCAACCCTTTCGCACGAAATGAGGGTCGATCGGCAAAAACTGAGGTAAAATTGCGATTTGACTTGCCCCGGAGCAACCCTTTCGCACGAAATGAGGGTCGATCGGCAAAAACTGAGGTAAAATTGCGATTTGACTTGCCCGGAGCAACCCTTTCGCACGAAATGAAAGTCGATCGGCAAAAACTGCAGTAAAATTGCGATTTGACTTGCCCCGGAGCAACCCTTTCGCACGAAATGAGGGTCGATCGGCAAAAACTGAGGTAAAATTGCGATTTGACTTGCCCCGGAGCAACCCTTTCGCACGAAATGAGGGTCGATCGGCAAAAACTGAGGTAAAATTGCGATTTGACTTGTCCTGGAGCAACCCTTTCACACGAAATGAGGGTCGATCGGCAAAAACTGAGGTAAAATTGCGATTTGACTTGTCCGGAGCAACCCTTTCGCACGAAATGAGGGTCGATCGGCAAAAACTGAGGTAAAATTGCGATTTGACTTGCCCTGGAGCAACCCTTTCGCACGAAATGAGGGTCGATCGGCAAAAACTGAGGTAAAATTGCGATTTTTCGTGTGCTGGAGTAACTCTTTCGCACGCAAAGAGGTTTGTGTGTACGAGCGTTTCTGTGTAAAGATGTTTGTGTGTAAAAATGTTTGTGTGTACAAGTGCATCTGTGTAAAAGTGTTGTGTGTAAAACCTTCTGTGTGTAAAAGTCTTTGTGTGTAAACGGGTTTGTGTGTACGAGTGTTTCTGTGTAAAGATGTTGGTGTGCACAAGTGATTGTATGTAAAATTGCATCTGTTTAAACGTGATTGTGTGTAAAAGCTTCTGTGTGTAAAAGTGTTTGTGTGTAAACGTGTTTGTGTGTCGGAGTGTTTCGGTGTAAAGATGTTTGTGTGTAAAAGTGTTTGTGTGTACAAGTGCATCTGTGTAAAAGCAATTGTGTGTCAAAGCTTTTGTGCGTAAAAGTGTCTCTGTGTAAAAGGGTTTGTGTGTAAGAGTCCGTGGAGGTGCCCAGATAAAGATCAACCGCGGTAGCCACTGATGTCAATTGAATTTGAAAATGAAGTGCATCAGCATGAGTCAACCAGAACTGTCTGAGACTTGCTGATGCACGCATCTTTGCTTCAGACATTCAGTTTCACCATAGTGCATCCTGTCTCACCACAGTGCATCGGCATGCGTCAAGCAGAACGGGCTGAGACTCCATCGAAGATGAATAAAGCTGCCGACTCCTTTTGCGCAGATAGTTGTTGGTCTGTGCAGCTAGGTTTGCATGGAGTCAGGGCCCCGGGATGGGATGGATTACATGGATAGGCAGGCTGCTACCACAAAGAGACAAATCGATATATTTTATATTGAGATAGGAATAGCAATATGAATTAGAGATGGATGTATGAGTGTTAATATATAGAGATGGATGTATGAGTGTTAAGATAAGAGTTTCAATTCCAGTCACAGTCACGAGTCAGGACCCTAAACCCCAAAAAAACAACTTATATCATATTGTCATACTGTGTGTGTCCCAGCCCAGAAACGTTCGCCACCTGCCAGGTCTGCCCGTTTATACTTTTTTTTCAGGAGATGGCAAACCACCTTGGTTGGGGGGCCCCAAAGCACATAGCCCTCATGACATGTTTATAGATGCTGGTTTCGAGTCACATGGAAATAGGACTTCGCCGCACCACCCCGTCGGATTGCTCAGGTGGCCACGACAACGATGACTTCGCTGTGAGTACCGTCTGTGTGTAAAAGCGTCTGTGTGTAAAAGTGTTTCTGCGTAAAAGTCTTTGTATGTAAAACCGTCTGTGTGTAAAAGTGTTTGTGCGTAGAAGCTTCTGTGTGTAAAAGCGTCTGCGTGTAAAAGCGCCTGTGTGTAAAAGTGTTTGTGTGTAACAGTGTTTCTGTGTAAAAGTGCCTGTGTGTAAAAGCGTCTATGTGTAAAAGCTTTTGTGTGTACAAGCGTTTGTGTGTAAAAGCAGCTCCTGTGTGTAAAAGGGTCTGTGTGTAAAAGTGTCTGTGTGTAAACGTGTCTGTGTGTAAAAGTGTCTGTGTAGAAGCGTCTGTGTGTAAAAGCTTCTGTATGTAAAAGCTTCTGTCTGTAAAAACTTCTGTGTGTAAAAGCTTCTGTGGGTAAAAGCTTTGTGTGTAAAAGCGTCTGTGTAAAAGCGTCTGTGTGTAAAAGTGTTTGCGATGCAAACTATTGTCTTGCACTTCTCACTATTTTGTCTTGATACTCCTCTTCTCGACTGCCTATAACACAGCTTTCATATACCGTTTCTAAAATTGCATCTCCATACTAACAAGAGAAGACCCTGCTCCTCTACGCTCTCGGGCCATCCGTCGTCTAGTTTGGTTGGTGGTTTCTCACATTTTTCATGTGCAACCCACCGGGATGATGATACCAGCGAGCATGTCCCATCATTTTGGCAGATTTTCATAGATTTTTCATATATATATATACATACATATAAATATTAATATACAATATTACCCATAGGATCCATGTATGGTATATATGCTAACATTGGGGATATATTGATGGTAAATGTGACCATATATAGCATACATGGATCCTATGGGTTATACAATGGTTAAAACAAATATATGAATAATAATGTATGAATATCAAATTATCCCTTCGACAAGGAGGCTGAAACTGAAGAAGTTTCAATAAGTCCCTGTATGTTTTCCCCAGTGTTCTGTTGGATATAACGAAATAATCACTATTTACTTCACGGAACCCCACATGGACCCCCATCATGATGATTTCCCATACGAGCGTTCGTGTTCGCAACTCCTGTTGGTTGACGATTAGTTTACCGATTCTAACAACCAATCCATGACCAGGGAATCCCGTTCTCAACCAAGCATCATGGAATGAAAGACGATTCATGGCTTTATTATGGTTTATTCCTTTCTATCATCTTATTGATTATTGGTTTGTTACAAATCCATCTAAATTCCCTTTATATGCGGATACATCTGATATACCCTCTGGTAAACTAACATAGCTATTGAAAATGGCCATTTATAGTGAGTTTTCCCATAAAAAAAGGTGATTTTCCATAGTTATTTTAGTTTACCAGAGGGTATCCTATTATATCCTATCTATTTTGGGTGGTTAAGAACTTTCCCGTTGTGTTTGTTGACTCCCCAGGCCCTCGCAGCTTCATCTCACGGAGACGTTGAGTTCCCTGCGCTTTGCAGCGCGGGCCAAGAAGATTGAAAACATGGTGGGGGAAACGAAGGGGGAGACGGGTGAATATGTTCGGTGATACTTTGTGATATAAATTTGGTAGACTATATTATATAGTGTATTACGAATTATGAAGTATAGTATGTTATAGTTTTAAATGTATGTGTATACATACTAACATATAATATACCCTCTGGTAATTTGTTACATAGCTATGGAAAGATCCACCATTTTTAATGGGAAAATCCACTATTTCTATGGTCATTTTCAATAGCTATGTTAGTTTACCAGAGGTGTATATATCTATACCTTGGATTGGGCCATTTGCCAACTCAAAGAGTCAGGGGAGCCTGGAGGAGCATTTGCGCCTTGGGGCGCCTTGATCTGGGATTTGTTTGAGAGCTAAGTTGATCTATAAGTAGGTTAACTATGGTTAACTAGCATTTAACTATGGTTAGCTAGCATTTTTGGGATCATTCTACATATCTGTTCTTCGATGTCCTATGTTTTGCTGGTTTTGGATGCCAAACTCTTAGATTACCAGAGGCTACATCCGATTATACCCCCAGTTTTCTAAGTTAAATCCCCATGTTAGTCATGTCCTAGCTATATCCCCATGATATCCCCATTAGGTGTCCAAAAGAATGTTATACTTATCCCCAAAAAGATATAAAAGTAATTTATCATTTTTTTAATTGGGATTTGACCAACTTCTACGAGGTGGTTTCCCGAGAGTTCTGTTTGTTGGTTTATAAGCCCATCAGTTTAATTATAGATCGATATATATATATATATCATAAGCCCAACAGTTGACTTGGACTTATTTGCACCAACTTAGCTACCGAACAGGGGCACCTTGTATATATGTAGCTAGATGTCTAATACATTCTGATAATAATACATATATATATAATACAATAGATATATGTAAATATATATATGTACATATATGTATACATATAATAGTATATATATCAGATATTCGTGGGCTTTGACCAACTCCATTTTTGGGGACCAAAAACCCACCAGCGGGGCGCCCTGGGAGGTTGGCATCACCCTTCGCCCTGCTTTGGAAGTATCGCCCAACACCAGGTGCACCTTGGGGCCCCTTGGGGTGAACGGCGACCAACCCGAGACCGCCATCGGCCCCAAATTCAAGTGTTTATCACAATCGGTGACTATATAGTTTATAGAAGTTTATAGTCTATTTCAGTACTTTTATACTATATGTATATATATGTATGTGTTACATATATATATATATATACATGTGTGTGTGTGTTATATACACAAAAAATGCCAGGATAATGTCTTTTTAGATATGGAAGTGCATGTATGGCATTTCTTCTGGTTGTTATATCCCATTGAAATGGGCAGACTCTAATGGCTTGAGATTTTATGTTTTCTATTGATTCTATTGGACATGAGTTATTTCAGATTCTTGAGTCATGATCTTGGGTTTCATGTAAAGATGAGTTTCCGGAACTCCAGTAGTTATAGGTGGGTTGTTCACTTGGGTACATACCCCACTTTGGTACCCCCGTGTGGTATATCTTTGTACAGTATATCATTTTGACCGGGCTGCGTCCACCTTTTCTGGTTGCATAAAAGCAACAAAGAGCCCATCCAAGATGTGACAGTCCAGGTTTTTTGATTGGATAAACAGTCAGACATGGATAAACCCGAGTTATTTATAGTTCGACACATCCCAGCATCTCCCACCCCATTCCATCACAATCGATTTGGGTTGGGACTATGAGGTGATTTGATCTGGGATTGGGGAAGTTTCAAGCATCAAAAACTGCAGTGAACATGGTTTAAGCATTGAACATAGAGATAGATCGGGTCAGTTGGTACGAACCTTGAAGTTGGCATCAATCTACATTGTGGTTTTTATATGTTTTTATTCCACGTGTGAAAACAGCACCCCCAAAGTTCACACGTGGAGCCAACGTGGAGCCAATGGCCCTTCGAAACAGTGAAGACATCGGTCCCAAGCCATCATGTTTTATCCATCAAAAATGGATATTTACCCTCTGGTGAACTAACATAGCAATGGAAAATCACCATTTTTAATGGGAAAATCCACTATAAATGGTGATTTTCCATAGTTTTTTGTATGTTTACCAGAGGGTAACCACCAAAAATGTTCCTTTCCCACCAATGGGATGATGATGACACCATGATTTTTCGCGTGGATTTTCAGGGTCACTTGGATTGGGCTCGGGTCCGCAGGCGAAAACAAATTCTTGCTTGGAACCCCCGTGAAATAACTTCATGTGTGGAACAAACATCCATAAATCATCATAAATCCATCCAAATTCTTGGTATGTTGAGACCTCATGGATCCCCATTAGCCAGAAGTACGACCAGAAGTACGACGTGGAGCACCAGATCTTCCACAAAAAAAAATTGCATCTAAGAGGTGATGAACAGTGATGCTATCCTGCTTAAAGCAACAAAATGTTCAAGTCTTCCGAGATCCAAAGGATCCAAATTCCAAGAAGCTCTGGGATTCTCTTGAGTTGCAGCCTCCAAAATGCTGATTCAATAAATCGCCAAGATGAGATGCGGCCAGTTTCTAAGTGGTCACCATGGAGACAAGCTAGATGTGGCATAGACCCCAGATATTTATGGGTTCTTACAATATAATATATATATATACACATTATCCCTAGATGTTCGATAGATTTGGACAAGGGCAACACAGGAAACCCTAAGGTTTCCTGTGTATTTTCCTCTAGTTCAGTCTGTCACTTCCGTGACTAACAAAGCATCCCATGTTCCATGCTTAAAGCCTGGTTTATCCATCCAGGCATCTGGAGAGACGCATCGCGCAGCTGCGGCGAGAACTGGCTGCTTAGCTGAAGCAAAGTTTGCAGATAGTTTTTCAATCATTGTTTATCTTAGATTTGCTGATGTTCTTTATTTTCCCACTGGTTAATCCACTACATGGGGAATCTAATTATAGGAAATATGTTTATTTTTCGGGTGTCCCTCAAGCAAATCCAAGTTATGAAGGGGAATTCCAGTCTATGGACCATGCATCAATAGATATCAATACTCAATACAGTACCTTTAAATGGAGCTTTCCTAAGTCCCGGCACCCCCAAATCATCAAAATTAAACCATTTTAGTATTGAAACCCATGCTTTTTGGGGGTCCCCATTTTCCAAGAATCCCCGAAATAACTTCATGTGTGGAACAAACATCCATAAATCCTATAGCTATTGCCATGTTCACCTATCCAAGGGTGCCCTTTGAAAAATCCCGGGAAGCAGTTCTTTTCGTGGCCAAGAGGGTTCGTCCCTGCACGGCATAGAAAACCATTGGGGCGTGCACCAGGCCCCAGGGATCCCCAGAGTGTTGCCGCATCAACTAATTCAGGGCCCATGTTGTCAACGATCGTGTCTGAAAATATTGAAAAATGGATAAAAATTGTGTATATATACTCTATATTACTCCAAAATTATCCAAATAACCATTCACTTTTTTTTCTCATGGATGATGAGTAAGCAGTGGATGGAACGGGGTACAGTAGCCTAATTTCAGACAAACCCTCTTATTTTAACAATTATTCATAAGATCCCCGTGTTTACCGCATTAATCATTGTTGTGTGTTTGCTTTTCCCGTGATTGGCTGAAAATTGCCATCTCTTGGAAACCAATTGGCTTCAGGATGTTTACAAAAAATGACAGAAAACCGCACATGTTGGGAGGAAAATAAATCTGAGTTCCCTCTAAATCTTCCGTTGAATCAATCCAATATAATCCAATGAGTCAATGAGCATGTTTTTTCACGTCTGATGCTCATGATTTCTGCCTTGACACCGATCTTGCCATGTTCCTCTCCACGGAACAACTAAAACATACTAAAACCACCAAAAAGATAGAAAAATCTATCAGATATATATCAGATATATATCATTTGCCACGTTTTTAGTAGGGTTTTGACCCAAAATCATCCAATTTTGGACCTTTGCGAAGCACAAAACTCCCCCGCTGGCGAGGCCAGATTAGAACATCGTCGGGCAGGTCTCTGCGGGGACCAGGTGCCGCACTGCGGTGATCACCGAAGCCACGTTTTTTTGAGATGAAGCTGATACAATGACTGATTGAAAATGGCAATTTATAGTGGTTTTACCCATTAAATGACTGATGTTGGTTACCCTCTGGTAAACTAACGTAGCTATTGAAAATGGCAACTTATAGATATTTATAGTGGATTTACCCATTAAATGATGTTGGATGATTTGAAAATTGACTGATTGGTGGTTTGGAACATGTTTTTTTTCCACCTGGTTGGGAATTTCACAATCCCACCTGACGAACTCATATTTTTCAGAGGGATAGGTATACCACCAACCAGATGATACAATGTAGAAAATATATGTGTTATGTATAGACCGAAGCTTAGAATGACCAGTTGGATACGGCCGGGATTTTGAAAAGAGCTGCAGCGCAGCGCTTTGAAAGTCACCAAACACTGTCATATGCCGTGCAAAATTGCCAAAAGCAGAACATAGAATGAGGTGCCAGCTATAGCAACCAGCATTTGTTCGATTATACGCGCCTGTCAGTAGATTGATGCCCATCAAGAAGAACTTAGAATGATGTCCAAGTCCGGGTGGGGTACCGCACGCGCACTTTTTTGATAGCCTACCAGGTCATTGGAAGTTTGGTTCCATTGCTTGAACAATATAAAACAACGTTGCCGGATTCCTTGCGATGCGCTTGGATCCCAATCTCCTTTCAGATCCATTGGCGCAAACAGATGAAAGCGGTATGAAGATTGCAGACTACTTCTACAGACAGTACCCTCTGGTAATTTAACATAGCTATTGAAAATGACCATTTATAGTGGATTTTCCCATTAAACATGGTGATTTTCCATAGTTATGTTAAATTACCAGATGGTAGTCTTTTGAAACTGTCTTTATGAACCTTGGCACAGAACGCTAGTGATGCTAGTGGCTCGGCATGGCCTGTTTTGCCACATTCGCGTAAACATTCTAAATTTATTTCTAACCCATCCTTTCTATGGGTAGAACTATTAAAAACGATATAAATTGGGCAAGTGTATAACATACCATGGATTGGACCTTCAAAATGTGTGTTTGTTCCTGTGTTTTCCTATCTTTTTTTCACTGAGCCAAGTTTGGGATGGCGTTTATTGTATGATTCTAACTCCAGCAACTTTAAGTTAAGGATATGATTTGATATTGTTGGAAACGTCTACGCCCATGCGAAAAAAAAGTATGTTCGTAATTTTATCTAGTTGGTGGTTTGGAACATGAATTTTATTTTTCCATATATTGGGAAATTCATAATCCCAACTGACGAACTCATTTTTTTGAGAGGGGTAGGTATACCACCAACCAGCAACATATCCAAGTACATAACTCCAATTGTTGTTTGCTTTTCCCCCGATATCCCAATGCAAAATCATATGGTCGCTATTTGTTGGTCATTTGAGATGCGGAATTGGTTTTTCGATGCAGGGGGAGTATGTGGGTCTCCAATTAGATTAGTGTTTGCCTCCTGCTGAGGTTGAGCCAAAGGACACCAACCATGATGGCGATATAGTTTGATTAAAACAGACTCTGGTTGGTGGTTTGGAACATTTTGTTTTTTTCCATATATTGGGAATAATAACCCCAACTGACTTTCATATTTTTCAGAGGGGTAGGTATACCAGCAACCAGTACTATATAATATACAAATGATTCAAAATATATCAAAATATGATGTATACTTAAATGTATAGTATAATTCACAAAAAAAGTCTGACGAAGCCATGTGATTCTGCCTTTCATAATGGGATAACACACAGGAAACTCGGTGGATAACATGGGATAACTATCCCATGACGGATCCATGGTGCTGGTATATTAATGCAAACATTGATGATATATTGATGGTAAATGTTACCATATATAGCATACATGGATCCTATGGGTATGTTTTGTGATGAAACTGTTATTCAGGATGGAACAAAATGACGCCAATTGACAGCTTGGGTTTTGCCGTCAGTTTATAACTTCACATACGGAGGTGCTAAAATGTTGTGTGGTCCTCTAACTGAAGCATCCGGTTTTTTTCAACATGGCAGATTTTTGTTCCATGATTTTTCGCTAGAAAGCTCCATTTATAATCATTTAGGATCCATGGTGCTGGTTTATATATGCTAACATAAAGGGGATATATTGATGGGATCCATGTTACCATATATAGCAGCACCATGGATCCTATGGGTCATAAAAACGAGGGATTTTCCATTGCCACGTTTGATTCCCAGAGGGTAACCAACCAGGGGTGGATCAACCTTCTCAGGCCGCGTTCTTGCCGCGGAACGCGGCGGATCGACGAAGGACAGGCAATGTACACACATGAAATCATCGTTACTTGTGCTAGTTTACACAATAATACATATTCACATATAGAATCATGTATATGGATATGTGATTTTAAATATCATATAAAATGATATAAATATATGTCCAATTGTATACTTTCTAAGTAAGCTTGAAGTGGCAAGTCACTATTTTTGGACGGCCTATGGAAAGGTGTCCACTACACATCCAGGTGACTTTGCCGCAGTGAAGTCACGAAAACCACCTAAATATGGAACATCCAACAGGATGGGGCCCCTGTTCGATAGCGTTCAGTTGCCAAAAAAAGTGGTGAAAAAACTATGGTTTCTGGTAGATATAACTCATGGGGGTTATATAGATTGGTTTATAAACCACTTTATAGCTGGCGGGCCCCATCCTGAAGAGATGTTGGAAACATAAATGTGGAACATCCCCCAGGGAAATATATGGGAAATAAAAAGTCAGTTACTTATAGATCATTTCCCTGGCGCTTTCGCCATTATTTCTTTCCGTATCGTATATATCGTATGATCGTATGTAGTATGTTTACCCGAACCCATAGGATCCATGTATGCCAAATATATATATATATATATGGTAACATTTACCATCAATATATCCACACTGTTTGCATATATATACCATACATGGATCCTATGGGTAAGAGTATGTTGGACTGCAGAATTTGATGATTCATCGTCATGATCCCTATAAAAAAGGGCCATTGAGTTTGTGAGTCAGACACACCCATATGGAGGTTTCCATAAATGGGGGTACCCCAAAATCACCCATTTTACAGTAATAGGATTTTCCATTATAAACCATCCATTTGAGGTGCCCCCATTTATGGAAACCTCCATATGTTCTATGTCAATCCTGTGGCGAATTTTGTTACTGCTACCCGCAGACTTGAGCCTCGCCTGTGAGTTTCCAGTTCAAACAGTCATTTCTTATTTCTCTTGAGGGTAGACCACTACTACAAACGACATCAAACGACTACAAACTATCATAAGCCATTGTATATATAAGCCACTATCAACCAATGTATATATATGATATAGCCCATTATAAACCATTACTATATATAAGCTGTATAAACGAATATATCGATATAATATTTTATAGCTTGATATCCAGCGAAAAGTCATCCAGTCCGGCGTCTCAGGACACCTTCGCCAGGCCGGGGTGAAGTTGCTGTGGTTGTCCAATCGGTGGATTCGAATACCGGATCCTAACGGTGCTGGTAAAAAAATGCTAACATGCATGGGGTATATTGATGGGATCCATGTTACCATAGCAGCACCATGGATTCTATGGGATATGTTGTTTGAATATTCAAGTATTCAATTGTAGAAAATGGGAATGTGATGGGCATAAATGTTTGGTATAATATGTTTTGAATATGTAGATGTTTGCTTGGTGATAAAATGGGGATAGAATGGGAATGTAAATGGATGTAAATGGCGTGTAATGGGTATAGCCAAAAACATGATTTGCTTGAGGTGCTTTCAAATATGCTCCTGACCGCGCCTGAAAGAGACGAAAGTAGCGCTCGTTTTTTTCCGAGTTGAAATCATCAACCGTTGTTATCTGACAACATAAATGTTAGTATCCATCAGTGTAGAAGTGCGTAGAAACTATTGCCAACTATCTTGATAGCTGAAAGTTGACATCCCCTTTCCTATTGATTTGTGATTTTCTCTTTAGTTTAACCCCCCATCCCATACCCCATACACCGTTGTCTAATGGAAACTCTTGGGAATGCCTATTACAATCCGCAAGGCAAGAGACCCGAGCGCGCCAGTGGCGGCCCGAACGCGGGAGTTGCGGTGTGGTCGCCTTGCGGTGGTCCAAAAGTGTGACAGATATCCCACCCGTGGGTCATGTGGCTTCTGTGAAGAAATGGATGTGGGTCAAAATGGAAGACCTAGGGGACCACAGATGTTAGTCTAGTTTAGTATTAACCATCCAATTATTGGGATACCTAATTTTGACCCATCCCCAAATGGAGAAAATGATGATTCACCGGTGAATTTGAATGATACCGAATGATACCCTTTTTTTAACCACATGTCCCCTGATCTGAGGGATCTCTCATGAGCGTTATAGAGCGCCCAATCAACTAACATGTTTAAATGGGGTTCAAAAACCGCCAAGAAGTGTTTGCAGTAATATTCAAGTAGTAAGTACCCTGTTGAAGGCCCATTCATTATCAAGGTGGGTTTGTCTCAAGATAGGGTACAAGATTGGGTACCTCATTCCGTCCGTTGGTTTCAAGCCTCATTTTCCATATTCACTTGGCCATAGGGGATATAGACCTCCAGTAACCCATAGGATCCATGGTGCTGCTATATAATGGTAAAATGGATCCCATCAATATATCCCCTTTATGTTAGCATTAATATACCAGCACCGTTAGGATCCGTCATGGGTATTCAAAGATGGCTGGGAAGTCCCTTCAAACATAGACATTTCAATGGGAAAGTCATCGAACTCCAGTGGAGGATTCTCCAGCCATCCAGCCACTTCCGGTTCCTGGTGAGCCCAGGTGAAAAGCACCAGAAAGGCGGGGATGAGACGACTCAAGATGGGGCCCTGGGAGACCCAAGGTTTAAACATGTTCAGCTCCAATGTTACTGGAGCATACCGTACCTTTAATGGGTAAGGTCGAAGGTTTGATTGGATTGGGATATTTTGAGCCTCGGCAAACAGAATTTCGCTACGAGAGTAGCTACTGCTAGGTTTTGGGCTAAATATGAACCATCTAATCTATGAATTTCAACTTTCACATTGCTGATATCTGCTGATATCGTGGGGTTCATTTCCCTCTTTCAGAATAAATCACCCACTTATCCTTTTCATTTTTTTCAAACATAGTAACGTTGATTGATAACCTGCTGGCAATAAGAAGTGTGTAATGTCACCCTGTGATTCATAAACTCTGGTTGATTAACTTGGGGGGCCACCCCAGCAAGTCAATTAAATTTATATACAGCCGACATGGCAGCCATTGGCAGCCATGGCACCCTCCCAATTAGACAGCGGGGTCAACAATCGCCCGAGGTTGACATTATGAACTTTAGGGATTACAGATCCGGTAATTCTCATCATATCCATTAATATCCCATCATGATTTTCTCGAGATCCGTGTTCAGTAAAATGTGTGACATCTTTTGATTAGTTCGTTGATTTCAGTTATCAAATGAATCTTCGAGGAACCTTGGAGTTGCTAGTTACTTCCCCAAGATTTCACATCCCAAGTACTTCATTTTGGCGGAATTACCCGTCATTTCCTCGTGAAATTTTACAGGAAGTGCCTGAAGCCCTGCCATTGCCGGCTCGATGGCCCAGCAGATCTTTTCGTAATAAGAAACAGGTCACGCGTACGCGCTGACGAGAGATGTTTATACTTGTTATTATTGGGATGTTATTGGGATTATCTATAGTTATCATGACTATATCTGGTCATAATGACTGATAATATGATATAATCATAGTTGGGGAGTTGAAGATGGGGATACACGACCCAGCCAGAACTTTGGGTTTCGAAATTACACACAAGCATGAAACATCACCATGGTGCCTGTGAGCAATGCCCAAAACCCTGATTGGTTGATGGCTGGTTTCATCCATGTTACTTCTAACTTTGGAGTGTGGACGAGTTGGTGTATGGATTTTTACCCAACACCATCCAAACTTCCTTCTTTGCAAAACTATCATAGATGTTTAGAAAACCAGCCAATATCTCATTTGATATTCTCATTAGATATCCCATTATAAATACCCTCATATATATATAATTCTATCCTCCCATTACATATCCCATCATAAAAAAACCATATATATATATAGGCACCGGGGGCTCGAGATATAGGCCCTCCAACAATTTCCCACTCGCTAACCCGCTCTACTGACGGGGGCGCATGGAAGTGGATGAGAATGAGGCCAATGAGGCAGAGGCCAAAAAGAGATCCAAAGATGTAACACCAGCATCAGCATCCAGACTTACCAAGCAGCCAAAGACCAGAGGCACAGATGAGACTCATGACAAAGATGCCAGACGCACCTTGTTCAAATCACCACCAGAAGCAAAACGAGAAGAACAGGCATTGACAGAATACAGAACCTTCTACAACAAAGATACAGTGAAGCAGAAAGGCACGGATGAAAGATGGAAACGCCAACAGGCTTCAGTTGAAGAGAGAAGCATGCAAGCAGCAACACCAGCCACAGCAAAGAAGAAACCGACCGTATCCACCAAAGCCCAAACTCTCAGCAAAAAAATGGACACCCAACTACAGCAAGCCCAGTCCATGATGGACAAAATGCAGAAAGCACTTGCAGAGCAAGACCATCCACCATACATCGCAGAAATGCAGCAGCAGATGCAAAGCACGCAGGAGACAATGGGCCAGCTAGAGGAAATCACCACAAACCTGCGGCAAGACGTCACAGACGTGGAAATCATGGCCAACTACGTACATGACACTCTGTACAAACAGCAGCAGCAAGAAGTAGCGCTACAAACCGTAGCCAAGGGTTGGCCAACAGCATTCTCAGACAGCGAGAGGGACAGTGTGATCAGTTGGTATGCCGACAAAGCAGGTGTCGCAAACCACTTCACCACCACCCACGGGCGATACACCTACGGCAAATACAAGAAGTCACCCATCACAATCCTACACTGGCAAACAGAATGGGCCAAAAACACTTTTGAGACCTACATCTACAAGCACTACAACAGATGGCGCCCAGTGACCATCTGGGACTGGCAGAACAAAATGGTGTACCACGGCAATGAACTACACAGAATAAACTTCACACCCCAAACCAGCGATATGGAGCGTCAAATCAACTTGACAATGCAGGCAGCCCTTCATATCCTCACCAATTGCGAGCAGTCAGACCTCTCACAGTCATGGAACAGACTTGCAGCAAAGTGGCAAGACAAACTAGCAATCAAATCGTCAGACAACATGGTCGTCTTCAAAGTTGTCAGAGACCAGGCCGACCCAAAGTTCCTGCATCTGCACATCCACAAGGATTACTATGAGATCATCCGAGACAACTGGTTATCAGGCTGGAAGGAGGCGAATGCAAAAACTAAATACCCTGACTACAATGGCTATGTCTACATAGTGAAGTTTGCCGTCCTGAGAAGTAATGAGGAATATCGCACAATGAGAGATGCGAAGTTTGGTTCGGAGGAGCGTGAAGCCGGGAATTGACTAGGCACTAGTCTTTCCACGGCAGAGAAGGAAAAAGAGCCGAAGGAATTAGGAGAGAAGGAAATAGGCAAGAAGGAAATAGGATCGAAGGAATTAGGGAAGAAGGAACTAGGTCAGGAGGAATTAGGTAACTGGGTGCCAACAGCGCACGACAGACACACACGTCATAGGGCCTCATCACTGTATACAAATAAAGTTTGTTCGAGTAACCGTCAAGTGGTGTGCCGGGACCTTCGGGGGTCATCCCACCCGAAGAGCGAAAGACCCCCAAAAAACCCCTTTTACAAAACGGTTAAGGGTACCGCGAAATCTTTTGGGAAAACATCCATATCCGAACAACATATTCCACCAAGCAAAAGAAACGCCAGGAGAGCCCGTAACCGGCGGCTCTGGCGGATTTTCAAAAAGTTTCAGGGGGAAGCTAGGCCTGCAAAGGCCCAGGAAGCCTGGCGGCGCAAAGAAAATCATTGCAGATATAGGAAAGAGTTTAAAAACTACAAGAGTAAGGTTGTTAGTGCAATGGACACCCATGAAAAGAAACATAAAAATAGAGGTGATAAGATCCCATATGGATTCCCATTAAAGGCTGCCAACCTTAACATTCGAGGGTTGAATGGTGAAAACGGAATTACCAAACGACAGCACGTGACTCATGTAATGAAACAGGAAGGGGTTGACATCATGCTGCTGACTGAAACCCAAGTTAATCACTCGTCTTTTGAATCTCACAATGACTTTTTGTTTTTCTTCAGCAGCGATGTCAAGCCCGACCAAAATCATAGGGAACACGCCGGAGTTGGAATTGTCATTCATAAGAAATTAAAACCTTTCCTTTACGAGGTCAAACAAACGAATGGTAGGATTATGGTTATGCCCCACACAGTGGGCATTCGAGCGACACAAAGGAAGATTTTTATGATAATTTGCAAATCATGTTGAATGAATGTCCAGAAGCTGTTTTCCTTGGGGGAGATTTCAACGCTAGGCTTCAGTATAGATATGATTCTGAGACTGACATCATGGGTCCCCACATTTTCGGACGTGGCAGGGATTATCTTGAAGGAGTTGCTTATTCAACCAAGGAAAACAGAGATTTGCTAGCGGATTTCTGTCGAGCAAACGCGCTCAGAATATTAAACACAGACTTCTCCAAACCTCGCTCCAAACAAGCTACTTTCCGTGAAAACACAACTTCATTAGAAGAACCTATCACGGCAGAAAACCATGCTCAACTAGACTTCTGGCTCACACGCAGCCGGCAAAGGAATCAATGTACAGACGTGCAGAGCCGGACAGATATTTATATGCAATCAGATCACTACATGGTTGAAGTATACCTTAGGATTAAACTAGCTGCTGTTGGACCCCATGTCAATTCTTGTTATGCTCCTAAGTTTAACAAACCTTCTGAAAGACAATGGAAGCTTTTTAACGGTTCTATACGTGATCATTATTGTTCGGCGCGCGGCCAACTTATTGGAAAGGGTTCACTGAAAGCTTAATGCAAGCGGCAGAAACTTGCCTGTCCAAAGAAAGTAAACCTCGCAAGAAGAATTATTTATCCACTCAGACATGGTCTCTCATTGCAGACCGGCAAAGGCTGTTTACTTGTGGGTTAGATACAGAAGTCAAAGCCTTGGACAGACAAATCAAAAAACAGGCGCGAGCAGACCGGAAAAAACATATCATAAACCAGTTTCACCACGCCCCCGGAGACCCTAACAGGAAAAAATTATGGAAAGTTGTCAATAACCTTAGGACTGATTTCAAACCTTCCTATATTGCCATGAGAGATTCAAATGGTAGACGGGTCCCTTTGAAAGATAGGGCTGAGACCATTGCAACTTATTTGTCATCACAGCATTGGTCAAACGATGTGGGTCAAGGGGAGCTACTGTTTCAAGACAAAATTGGAGCCCCTCTCGTATGTGACTCATCCCTTTTTACATTGGTAGAGTTGGAACATTTGGAACTCGTACTCAAATCTAGTAAGCTTCATAAACAACCTGGACCAGATTTGATCCGTATGGAACTGTTCAAATGGCTTGATGGTTCTAACCGTCTCCTTTTGCTTGATATCCTTAACCAATGGTGGAAAGAGGGAGGGGTTCCGAAAGAAGTTCTTCATGCTAGAGTGGTGCCTATCTTCAAGAAAGGTGATATTGGTGATCCATCTAACTACAGACCAATTTCACTTCTAAACAGCATTTACAAGCTTTTCACCGCTCTGGTTCGAGCAAGAATTCAGTCGGCTGTCGATTTTAAAGTTTCGCCTACCCAATTCGGATTCCGCCCAAGGCGGTCAACCGCACACGCAACGATCATCATCCGGCGCTTGCAAGACTGGTCTGAACAAAAGAACTCAGAACTATACCTAGCTCTTATAGACTGGGAGAAAGCTTTTGACAAAGTACATCATTCCAAACTGTTGCTAGCAATGGACAGACTTGGTTTTTCAGAACATTTTTTGCGTGTGATCAGTAGCCTATATGATTCTCCAACTTTCTTTGTTCAGGATCAGTATGGTAACTCATTCACCAAATCTCAACTCACCGGAATACGTCAAGGTTGTCCCTTAAGTCCTTATTTGTTTTTACTGGTTATGACATGTGTTGATCACGATGTTCAGAGGTTATGTTCAAAGAACGTCACGAATTCACGAATTCCGGGAGTTGAATTCGATGCTGTATTTTATGCCGATGACACAATCTTGTTTTCCACAAAGCCAAGAGCGCTTAACGAATTACTTAAGCACATGGAGAACTGCTCAGAACGTTACGGTTTAAAGATAAATAGGCGTAAGTGCCACACCCTGCACATGCAGAGGGAAGCATCTATTCATTTCCAAGATAATACAGTTCTCCATAAAGCACATGATGCTACTTATTTGGGAAACAATTTAAACTGTAAAGTTAATTTAGCCAGGGAAGTGACTCAAAGAATCCAAGACACCAAACGCACATGGCAAAAATTGAACTTGTATTGGAAAAATTCGAGCGCAGGAAAGAAATGGCAACTCATTATTTATGATGCTGTTATTCGCAGTAAACTTCTTTACAATTTGGAGACCATGTGTCTTACTCAGCCACTGCGAAAAAAGCTCGATACTTTCCATTTACGGGGCTTGAGGAAAATACTTCAAGTACCCACGACATACGTCGATAGGAGGTATACGAATGCACGTGTTTATGAGTTGGCTTCTCAAATTGCTTACCCAGATGATCCTTATAAAAGTCTTCGACCTTTTTCTGCAATATTGGATGAGAAGCGAACTCACTTAGCCGGACATATCCTCCGGGCAGCTAACAGCGACCCGTTACGGCAAGTGGTGTATGAACCGAACACAGCAACAGTCAAACGGATTGGCAAAAGACGGGTTGGCAGACCCAGAATTAATTGGGCTTATAACACTAATGAACTCATCCATTCTCGGGGAAATGCGACTGATTATGTCGCCTCAATTGATCAAGACAACAACATTTTAGAGTTTGCAAAACAACGGTTCATATAAGCCAGGCGCCCAAGCGTCTCACTTAGTTGCAGGGTCCCTGCACGAGGCGCATGGTAGAAGAAAAAGATATATATATATATAGAATTTCATTCTATACTCCCATTACATATCTCATTATAAATACCATATAAAAATATGTATATGTATGTATATATATATTATACCATTCTATATTCATACCTATATATATATGTATCAGCATATGTTCCAAGTGTATATACCATCAGATATCCCATAAACCACTTGTAAATCAAATCCCAATGATTCTCTGAATCTCCCCGTGAGAGAAGGCCTCAGCGGCCAGCAGCTATCGCAGTACGGCCACAGGTCGGGGATGCCTGGTCAGCAGGCGGCACGCCTTGCTGCATAGTAAAAAGGATAGAACAGCAATCAATGACTATTTTAGTGGAATTTGGTCTTAGACTATCTTTTTGCAGCTTGCCATACATATCACAAGTATGCATACACGAAAAAATATGGAAGTATACGCATACATACATAGAAAGACATTAAAGACGGTGATATTGGTCGATATATATATATTATATATGATTTACACAATATGATTATGTTGTTACAGGTATCATCTAATCCCATTCCCCGTTATTAAACACCCCGCCAGACGGCCATGGAAAAACTGATGACCAGAGATTTCTCAGCTCTTCCATCTGGGGATTTCCATAAACGGGGGGGGATCCCCAAAATGGTTGGTTCAAAAAATGGAAAATCCCCATCTAAAATGGATGATAACTAGGAATAACTGGGGGTACCCCCATGACTCAGCAAACTTCCATATCCCATCACTTTCCCATCGTCCACATGAGTTGCCATCCGACTTTCCAATGACTTTCCCGCGGCCGGCCGGAGCGCCAAGGCACATCTTCCACTGCCTCGGTGGCCGCGGTATCTCTGGGAGGTGCCTGGTGACCACCTGGTGGTTTCATGGGGATCTCCAGTCGTCACCATAGGTTAAACCTCTGGTAATTTGTTACAAAACTATGGAAAATGGTTCATTTATAGTTGATTTATTTTGTCAAAATGATGATGTTCCGTTATGTAAACGTTTACCAGAGGGTAACCTATTCGAAGTCATGGTCGTTCATGACTTGGATGACTGGGGGGGTACCCCCGTGACTGGATGGAAACCTCATCATCATCTATCATCGAACAAGAAGTCTCATGTATATCCATTTTCCACAATTTCCATAGCTATGTTGAATAACTGGAAAAATATACACAACCACTATCCCCAATTCAATTTAGGCAGAAACATCAAATGTCACGACCACACTCCGTCACTGGAATGATGGTCATTATGGGTAACTATATCTGAACTTCTTGTTTCAGGTTGCTGAATCACTACAATTTATCCATGAGAATTGGTGCTTATCCCACTAGAAAAGGCCCAGAAAAGTCTCCATTTGTTGCCTCAATCCTCAGGAAAAATGATCCGTTGCATAATTTGGATGGTGGTTTAAGTCTTTATTACTCCAAGGGTACCTCCCGTGATATTCTCATGATCTCATATGATCTCCAATTTCATCAATAGTTATCCCAGTTATATCCAGTTATCAATAGTATTCCATATAGTTATCCCCTATTCTTTGATGCTTAAACTGCTGGTTTTGGATCGTAAAATGGTAAAACCATGAAAAAACTTTGTCAGGTTCAGCATCTGGCACTCCGTGGGGTTGGCCCAGATTGGGGCGGGCAGATGGTAGCAGCCATGGAAATTTGGCGATCCCCAGTTTAATACATGGAATATCCATGAATAAAGAAACGGAATATCCATGAATATCCCCACTTATGGGATGAAACATGGGTTAGATTAGATATGGATTATAAAAAAATGCTATAAACCACGGATCCGATTCGTGGGATGCACATCCAAGTAGGCATATCATCGAAACTCATGGGTCATTTTCCATGGCCAGAGGTGGTATGTGTCGTTTGGGGATAGATGCAAGGCTGTTGGTCGGACCTGAGCCTTTAACCCTGCCATTGCCGCAATGCCATGCAAAATGCCCTCCATGACGGCCCTGACATGCAGTGTCCTTAAATCCTTAGAGATGTCGAGTTGTCGAGCTGGACACATCTTCGCTTTCTCCCCAAGGGCGTAATTTTGGCCCTTGGGGCGAGACTACTGCCATGTCGTCCAATTTCCAGTCTCATCATTATTACTATGAATTATTACTAATATATAGTAATCTAGATGAAATAATATTCCAGTAATATATATATATATATATATGTATTTTGTTACTATATAATTATTCTTATCACTATCATGCTGAGCGAGAGTTTTGGCACCAATCGGCTGACCTTTCAATCATTGGTGGCTCCAAAAAAAACCGATGCCCAATGGAACACTCGTCCCACAGGCGCGTGGAACGCCCGAAAAAGAATCCTTGGGAATCGTTGGTTGCAGTGCTTCCGGCGCATCATGAACCTTTGACAACCATCATTGCAGTGATTGCAGCCTTCCATTGCTCAAAACAGGTGCAGTCTAGACGTCGTTTTGATATCTTGATATTGAATAGAAGACGCATCATGCAGAAGGCATTTTCTTCGATTTCGTAACGAAGGGTTCAGGTTTCATATCTTACCAAGTTACCAAAACGATCCAAAAGGTAACGTTTTATTTACCCTCTGGTTATTTAACATAGCCATGGTATAGATGGCCCATAGAAATTGATGGTTTACCTATTAATAGCATGGTGATTGTCCATGGCGAACTGTTAGTCATAACCAGAGGGTAGTACCAAACCATGTGATTCCGGGATGGCCGTTTTGCGGTTCAATGTTGGGTGTACAGGAGCTACGAACCCCTCATTGCTGTTGGCCCATCAAGTATATCCTGTCCCAATTACCAAAAAAAACAAAAAATATCATAAACACTTCTATAAACACTTGGACCCTCCCAACATGCAAACGCCTCCAATATCGATGTACCGAAACTGGTACGCACCACTTCCCAAACAAATATGTTGGATTATAACCCCAAGATATGAATTCCCTACGGATCCAAATACTTTCTGAGAAAGTACTTACCCCAAAAATCATACTCCAAGAGCTTCCTGAGAAGGTACTTGGATGAATAGGGGTTTTATATCTGGAATACAGTATGTTATATGCTAGTTAGCCAACTTGGGTTATAGTATGTTATTATATAGTAATAGTTAGCTAACTGACAATGTATATCCACTAATCGCTGGCTATCTTTCATGATATATGACGGAATCTCGTTGCCAATATCAGTGAAAAACTTGGAACTTTCCATCATAAATCCGGTTTGGGATGCACAGCATATTTATAGGTAGCTAACTTATGGATTAAAAAAGGCAATATGAAGTTAGCTCATTTTTGTTTTTTTATGTATTTTTAAACATGTTAAAACTATCCATATATGATAATTTATAGTTAGTACTGATGATAGTTACATCTACGACTTCCAGAATTTTGTCCCTTGGATCCAGCCCGGACCGTTGAACCAAGGCTCTCACGGGATCCGGAGCATCCGGAGCTCAGCGTGGCCGACGAGGTCGTCCGCTCCCCGCGGGTGCTGCCGCCACGGCGTTTCTGGGCGACAAAATGGTGAGTTGATCATGGGAAATTCCCATCTGGTTGGTGCTTTGGAACCTCAAGTCACCATGGATATCAACTTGAAGTCATGGTCTGAGGAGTTGGATGACTGAGGTATATACCTCTATTTCAGGAAACCACCATATAATCATCTGGTTGGTGGTGAACCATGGAATTTTGAATGACTTTCCCATCATATTGGGAATGGAATGTCATCATCCCAACTGAGTTTCAGTCCATCATTTTTTCAGAGGGGTAGGGCTCAAGCACCAACCAGCAATTTTATAGCCCAAATTGATGATTATATAATGGGCGGGCCAAAGGTCCCAAGGTAACACTGAGGATATTGATATGCTATAGCAGCTAAGTGTGAAAGATTGTATTTTTACAGATGAAAAATGTGAATCTTAGTTAGTAGAATGGCATTTTAGAGGGTGAACATGTCGGTTGTACTGAGGAAACAAATGTAGGACTTTCGCAGCAAACTATTGGACGGGCAAGATACAGAGATTTGGGCTGGAAAAGTTTACCAGCAAAAATTATATATCATATTTGCTGATGTCTTCATCAGATATTGGAATTTGGGCAACATAGAGACCATAAAGTGAGATTGAAAAACACCTTTGTGGTTGAAGATTTTGTCGGCAAAATTGGATGGCAACCATGATGAAATTTACCGACATGGGGATTCAATCATTCAAAATGATAATCGATTACAACCTGCAGCATGGAGAAATACCCGAAGATGTCAGAATTGTCGATGTTAGACAAATATGTTGCAAGGGCGGATAACCCAAGGTGTTTTACTTTTTAAATCACCAGGATATTCGGCTCATTTTGATCCATGTTCCAAGAAATAAAAATGGGTCAAAACCTATCGAATTACCATATTTGGGGCAATGGCCATCCATTAACCAGCTCTTTTAGGATACCATCCGGGTACTAGGGTTTTGACCTAAGCCAACAAGAAGAGATGTTGGTCTCCGTTGGTCTCTGGCAACCAAGGTACCGGCTATAGCTTTATCATTGAGGCTCCGGAGCCTTTGAGAAGTGAAACGGTCCCGGTGAGAACTTTGGAATTGGGAACATGGGAGAAATCTTTGTGTGAAAAGCTCTATATATGATAATATATTATATTTATATTTTATATATTGATACTGTGGATAGTCACATGTCTAGTGGTAGTCTTGAGCCTCATCTAGTGGTAGTCTTGAGCCTCACAGGGAAGGTTCAGGAAGGTCCTCCACTGCTGACCCTATCAGCTGACGTCGTGCTGAACTCATGGTTCGGATAAAGAAACATAAAGAAACCATGTTTGGGGAATCGAATTGGGAATGTGTTTGATTCAGTTGGATGTTTTTTCCGTTTTTTTTTGGCAAATCTAGAGAGATAAACTGAGTAGACCTTTGCGAAAGATGGGTAAACTTGCGGGTTGATGCTTGCCTTCTGATTGGTGGAATCTGATACCTAATCAATCCTAATTAGCTATTGTTTATTATTTTTTGCTGTGTAATTATCGAAGATAGGCCATTTAGTGTACACATTTACTTCCATCCCACTTACCATCGCTTACCAATCGAAGCATATGCATTCCATCTGCGAAGTTCAGGGATCATCGCCCTTTTTTTTTCGCATGGCAAATGGGCTTGGAACAACTGGTCTAAATTCTGCGGCGAATGCAACAGAATGCCGTGCGGAGACGAACTTCAGCTCCCCAAAATCCATCGAAATTCCGCTTGACTTAAGTATTTATTGACCCTAAAGCCCACAGAGCCAACTAAGAATCCGTCGAAAATCAGAAACTTTATAGAAAATCCCTAGAAAACCAGAAATTCCGTAGAAAATGCATAGAAAATCAAGATGTCCATCGAAAATCTCTAGAAACTCCATCCATTTGGAACCAACGCCAGGCCACTCCCGTGGAATGTCATCCCAAAGCCCCCAAGCCCGAGTCCTCGGGAGGGGTTCCCGGGATATGTTGGGATCCATGTGGATCATGGGATACTCTCTGGTAAACTAACAAAGCTATATATATAATATATGAACGAAATGAAACCCTTCTTCTCCTTCATTTGATTTTCTGTATTTCAGAAGATATATCAAGATGCATGATGCACAATTACAAATATGTAGCGGGCCCCCACCTATCTACGAATTTTGCACACTTCTGGGAAAAGACATTTCGACCAGCCACCATATGGTAATTATAGCTATAGATTTGTCTATGGTACATATAGAGATAATGTATAGATTATGGTATAGACATAATTATAGCTATATATCTGGTAATTTATATGTAATTCTGGTATAGAGATAATGTATAGATTGTCTATGAATGATAATGGTACAGATATGGTATAGATTGCCCATTTACTTTGTTGATGTACCTCTGAAAAGTTGTTTCATAGTTATGTTGGTTTACGAGAGGATATTCCCATGAGGGGTATCCACCATCAAAAATGGAGAGTCAACCCTTGTAGATGAGGTTTATGAAAACAATGGTGGTTTCCATAGCTATGCCTAGCTATGCTAGATTACCCGAGAGTTTTTTTTACATGTGGGTAATTTGACATGGCAATCGCCAGTGCCAGGTTAAATTACTGGAGGCTAACTGTGCCAATTTGAGGCCATGTTTTCATGTTTTCAAATGTTAACATGAGTAACAGCACACCATTAGAGGGGCTTATATTTTCAGACAAGGCCATTATGATTTCGGGCCGACGAAGCGTCATTTTGAAGATCAAAACATGCCACTTTGGCATATGACATCGTATGGCTTGACCCAAAGCCACGAACCCATGTTACAATGAGTGTACGAAATTCACTTCTCCAAGATCGTTTTTTTCTCTATTCCCTCCAGTAGTATGTTCGATTTCAGAGAGTGAATCACCAGATGATGCAACTCATGGCTTTGAAAATGAGATATATACTCCCAAAAACTTAAAACACATGAAGATACATGTGAAACTAGAGAAAATCAGGCTTGCTCCAAGCAAAAAGGATTTATGGCTGAATCAGAGCGCCACAATCCGCGAGGCCATTGACGCAGAACGACGCCACCTATGAGGTGGTGGCGTCCGTGACATCTCACTACAGTTGAACATATGGCTGTGTCAAGACACCCCCAAATCATCCCAAATTGATCGGCATTTTCCAGTAAAAAACCATTGACTAGAGGTACACCCAATTGGCGCTTTGATTTCTTTAGGCGGTTGCCAGGACTTTGTATCAGTAATATGAATCTATGGATATAATACCTTATAGTATCAACTCAGTTGCCAGAACTTGCCCTATATTTTGAGAATGTACAGTATTCTATCAGCAATATTCTGAATAGATCTGTAATAGGCAACGTGATTCGAAATGTAACCAGGAATTCAACTCGTTCTTGATGTTTATTTCGCAAAGTTGGCAACTTAAAAAATAGTAGTTCGCGTAATCCGTAAGCCCATCCCTTTGAAATATTAGAAACCTCCATTGTATGGTACCAGATGTTTTGCTTTCCCGGATCATCATGGTCAGAGGCATTGGATCCTTGACAACATGTGGATATGTTGGCATATATATAATTAATATCACCATGTGGATATCAGCTTCGCAGGACGTGTTTTTTTAAGCGCTAAACTCATACAATACATTAATCTAGGCCATTCTTGGGATTACCATACCTCACAATACCTCACCAGGCGCCTGAAGAGGAGGAGGTGCAGGGAATTGAAGGGTCATAGGTTGATGGTCATAGGTTGATATTCCATGGTTACTCAATGGGATATTCACAATGGTTATATAATGTTTGTTCATAGTGATGGTTATAAGTACAATATGTAAATGGGTATGTATCGGGTTTGTACTATTTTAATACCAATGGATATGTTAATGGTATATAAATTTCTGGGATTTTTGATGAGGATATAATAAGGACATAAAAAGGGACAACCATTACCCTCTGGTAAACATACAAAAAGCTATTGAAAATGGTGATTTATAGTGGATTTTCCCATTAAAAAAAGGTGATTTTCCATAGTTATGTTAGTTTACCAGAGGGTATTATAATGAAGATACCATCTGGTTGATCTTTAGTGACCTCACAAATCGTGACCTCATTAGAATCATGGGATCCAATGGTTTCTGGATTCGGGGGAGAAGGCCTTATTTACTGTTTCAGGTGAGTGAAATATTATAATTTACCCATAAGTTACCCATATAATTACCATAATTTACCATTATGTTCATCCACCATGATACCCTAATTTACTATCTTATTTCAGATGATTTACCATGATTTACCCAAATATCCAATGCATTGACAATTTGACAATTTGACAATGTTCATCCATGAACTTTTAATCCCCAGAAACCAGAAAAAACAATGGATTTCTCTGGTGAACTAACTCACTGCGAATTCACTCTGATGGCGTAGGGCTTACACTCTCCGAAAATGACCGTATTTCAGGTTAGTGAATCATGATTCATCTGGGTAAATTACAACGACCTCACTGCGACCTCACTGGAATCATGGTTAGTAAGGGAAATCATCCCCAAATGGCCTTATTTCAGGTTAGTGAATTATTATAATTTACCCAGATTCATCTCTTGGGATTATGATTGTATATGGTTGTGCTATCTTCAAGCAAGATACATGGGGATGTCACCAGCAACCATCGGCAATTCGGGGGCAACCTGGACCATCTTCAGTCGATTGCTCAGCGGGCCGCAATCAAAGCCAGTACACCTTGGATGGGTACGGTATTAACCACGAATATATGGGGAAACCAGCAACAATCCAGGAGAATTGGGACATCAGCGAAACCTTTGTTGATAGTTGGGCAAACCAGCTGGTTAAAGGGCAGTTGTTTTTATTATGCCAGCTGCATCTCTTGAATATATGGCGATATCATCCCTTCTCCCATTCGTATTAAACACCGATAAACAATGGCGGATGGGGCTGAAATCACATAGTTGAGTAGAAGGCACACAAGACACCTCTGGGATCTTCCAGGTGTATGTGGATATTTGAAGACCCATTGATCTTGAAAGTGGCAGACGGCTCGCGGCGGGCCCTTCAGGTCATTCCTATGGCTTTGCCAGGCCAGAGCACACTAACCCCAGAAGCTGAAGCATTCGTGCCAGGCGGAAATCACATCTCAAGCCTTAACTGCCGGACGTCCAGCAGCAGATTCTGCACTTCATCAGCGCTATGCTGAGCGGATCGCCCCAGATCGAAACAGAATTGCAGCAAGCAGTGCAAGCAGACTTCCTGATCGCTGCCAAGGCTGCGGCTAGGCATGCGAGAGAGCTGCTGGAGTCCCTCGCAGTTGTGATCCTGAGCTGGGCATTTGAATGCCAGATGTGACAGCCTTGAGGGCTGCAGGCTGCAGGCAGAAGCGCAGAAGTGTGGCGAAGACGCCCATGGCTTAGTTGACGTGTAGGTTGACCATGTAGATATATATACGTAATTATTTATATTATATAATTATATATTATATTATATTTTATATACATACATAGGCTTTAGCCTTTATAATCTGGGCAGACAAGCTGCTTGGTCATTTTGGGGCATCCCATGGCATCCCCCAATTCGCAGCTTGGGACTTCCCCGGCCTAAAAAACCGAACTCACAAAAAACTGATGGGAAAGATCCACCATTTTTCCATGGGAAAATCCACTATAAATCGACTGGGCTATTTTCTATAGCTATTTTGACATAACCAGAGGGTACCTGGAAAACCCTGCGATTCAACCAAAAATCAGGTGGTAACCACCTCTGCTGCGCTGGAACGCCCGGAGCCCGGAAAACCTCGGCGGAGAAAACGAGCGTTTTTGTATCCCTTTGGGCCGCCCCAATTCGCAGAAGTTGCTGGGGTTGTCCAAACATAGCTTAGCTTTGCATGGCATGTCATGAATTTCCCAACAAAATGTTGCATTTTTGGGGATTAGCTTCTGTTTGGATGAAGCCAAACCGCATAGTTATTGTTGGTCATATATCCCATAACATATCCCCATGTTCTCATGGTTGATTTTATATATCCCTCCAAGACTCCAAGATTCTTTGTCGAATTCATTGTTCGGTCAATCCTCATTGTTGATGATCAAAAATCTCCCTCATTCAAAAGATTATGATTAATTATATTATATGTTAATGTCCAACTAGTTATATACGTATTTATAATTATGATGTATATTTGATCATTGCTATTGATGTTAAACCCCTATTGGTTAAGCATGTTGTTGGGTCTGTATCCCAGTATATCCCGATGAAATCCTCAACGGATTGATTTCTTCAAGGGAAAATCTGCTGGAAACCATGCTTTCTACCCTCAAATCTCATGAAATCCCAAGAAAATCACCGGAAATCCCCCCATGTGACACTTCCAACCCAAACCGACATGAAGTCTCCATGATTTTTCCAGGAACTCCCAGGAAATCATCCGTTTTCCATGGTTTTCCCATTGTTTTCCCATGGTTTTCCCATGGTTTTCCCCATGAAATGCCCGTGTTTCACCGGGCCATGGCCCGCGCTTCCCCAGGTCACGCCGCTGCGCTCTCCCAGCGCTGCGCCGACCTGGCTGCGAAGTTGTCGAGGGAACGGCAGAGGTGTCCGGGAAACTCGGTGAATCAGCGAAGCTTTGGGGTGAAACTGGCTGAAAGTGCGAAATCTATGGATATATAAATATGGAATTATATTGCATATATATATAATATTGATAATAATGATATAATAATGATAATAATGATATATAATAGATATAAATATAGATAATAATGATAATATATGATAATGATAATGACAATAATTACAGTAATGATAATAATAATATATGATAATATTTAATATTAATAATAACAATAACAATAATAACAATATATATATAATATAAAATATAATATATATATATATATCAATGAGATTTACCAAATTAGGTTAAGGTTTGACATGATACCATGTTTTTTATCACTTGAGTGAATTCTATGGGGATTTGCTGGAAATATACGGACATATAATATATGGAAATATATGGAAATATATGGAACTATTCTATACTATATAAATAGGAAAAATGCAGGTGGCCAAAGAGAAATCCGAAATGTTGCTTTAAAAATCTGGAAACATGAAAAATTGCTAAAACCTCGCGTCGAGAAAATTAAGAAAAAAAGGAACAATAAGAAAAAATAGGAAACATAAGAAAAAATAGGAAGAAATTGGAACAAATAGGAAAACAATAAGAAAAAATAGGAAACCACATAGGAAAAAATAGAGCGTCAAAATCACAGGTTTTTGTCCTGGGTCAATCCTATGTGTTCCTATGTTTTTACTATTTTGAAATCTTCCAGGATGTGCCTGTAATTCAGAAAAAAAACTATAATATACATATATATATATGTAGATATCAATGAGACTTACCAAATTACGTGAAGGTTTGGCCTGATACCAGATCTTTATCACTTGGGTGAGATCTCTATGGGGATTTGCTGGAAATGTCACCCGTGGAAACATGGGGAGTTAATCAGGAAACATGGTGAATTGGGGTACCCCAAAATCATTGCTTTCCCCGGAACAAATGACCAGCTTAACTTGTGGTCCCCCATGGTAAGAAACACCCATGGCCCGGAAATTCATGGAGAAATCTGTGAAATCTCGAGTATCATGAATAGTTCTAGTCAAGATTGAAATCCAATCCGCCAACATCAATTGACCATCCTTTTGTCACAGTGATTTATACAACTATAGTGATTACCATAGTGATTACCATAAAATTTCAATGATCACTGAATAGAACTAGGGGTTTACAGAACTACCAAAAAATTCACTGTGATTACCATCAATTTCAATGATCAGTTACAATAAAACAGTGATTTATAGAACTAGGGCAGTGCAGTTTCTGAGGCTCCACTGCTTCCGTTCACACGGAAGCGCCGCTGATGGCCACGCCCATCCGGATCCGAGAGTCCCTTGGGATGCGGGAACGGGTCCTGGGACGGTTGGAAACGGCTACCCGGTAAGGGCGCCAGGTAAGGGGATCAACTGCTGGTTTCGCAGGGTTGTTTTTATGGTTTATAACCATGCAAGATAGATGGATATCACCAGCAATTGATGATTAATGGTTTTCTTTGCATATGAATATCACCAGCAAATGATGATTGATGGGAATCTCTTGAAAAATGTGGTGGTAAAAATGGATACATAGTTAAGCGTCAATTAATGTTCTGCTTGTTCAATGGGGATACATTCACCTTTTGAGAATGGGCACAGGTGGTGAGGTGCAGCACTGATTGGATGGAGATCCGGGCTGAGGTTAGCGTGGATGCTTGCCACAAAGCACCCGGAGCCTACAACACTAGTTGTTGAATCCTGGTTTTTTACAGCCCCTACAAGTAGCTCAAGGGGGGTGCAGTGTGCGCCTAGTGGCCTCTACATGGAAAGTGCCTAGCCGATGTCTACTTCGCCGCCGGATCTGCCAGAGGATCCATGGCATATTTTCCCAAAGCACATCATCACGTATCCCACATGAAATTGATGTGCCCAAATTTTGACCGGTACCCAAATCCCTGACATCAGTCGAGGTAAAACCAGGAAAAACGTAGGAGTTTTTGATGGCTTAAAAATCAACCCGATGGGGATGTTTTACAGAGCCTAGTCACCTTCAAATCACTGGGAAGTACAGGTTAAATCACCGCAGGAGTAGCAATATTCCGACTGTATGTTTTTCCTAGTATTGAACGATCAACTTGAATCTCAAGTGTTTCCATCCTTTTAAACTCCTGAATTCATATTTAGTCTATGTATTTCCTATTTTCGCGCGGGAGGTTGAAACAACCAACCACTGACGATTCATCGCTCAGGTTGCCAAGTCCCAAAGGCACTCCAAGCCTGGAGGTTCCCTTTGTGGAAAAAATCGCCGGTTCACTGGATTGGTTGAGTTGGGAAAATCTGAAAACCGGAAACCCATGGGTTTTCCCCATGGAATTCTATAGGGGGTTCCGGTTTCAAGTTTCTCTCTAACCAATCTGAATGGTGATCCTCCTTATTTTGCTGTGTGAGATAAATCCGGAAAAATCCCAGTGACTGGTTTGAACATGTTTGAACTCTTATTTCGTGACCTAAAACGCGAGGGTTTGAAGCGAATGTTCAAAGAATGTTCATCCCGGGCAGGGGTATACATAATGATAAAAGATGAGATGGTTTATCACTGTGGATCCCCACTACTAATGCAGATAGATTGTATAAAGAGGCAGCATATTAATGATGATAAGCATTTCAATGCTCACGCCACAAATGATGACAAAACAGCACTGTTTCTCGGGGGAGCCAAGGTTGATTGTGAACGCCAATATATGTTCACCAAGATCTCAGTTAGTGCCAGGCGCGCGGAAGAAGCACCACCGTTTCGGACGCCCAGACAGGAGGAAAAGGATCAGCGCAAAGATGTCACGTATCATGTTACAAATGTACTGTAGCAACCCCAAGAAGATAGACAAAAAAACTCTGGACTAAAACAGTGACAAAATGCGTTCCTTTTTGGAAAATTATGACGACCTCACTGCGACAGCCCTGGAATGATGGTTAGCAGAGGTGTGTTGTCTGTCTTCATGTGCATGCGGTCTAGCCCAGAAAAGGTAGATCTTAGGGGGATAGCATAGATATATATGTATATATATTTACATATTCGTACACATTGTGTTTTTACCTGTAGTTTGAAAAGGTACACGTATACAAATAGGTAGTTAGATAGATAGATAGATAGATATCATAAACACATGAATAAGTTGCGTCCCTTTCTTTTTGGATGCTAATGTATAGGCTCCGCAGTTATCCAAGTTGGTTTACAATCTGGCCATAAACGAAGAAACATCAGATGTGTGTTTGCACTTTTTTCCCCATCAATGTTCCATGGAAGTTTCCATCTACCATGGAAAATCCCCATGGAAATCCTAATTTTTTCCCGGTTTTTCCCACAGTTTTCCCACCGGTTTCCACCACCCAAGGCCTCCTCGGCCAGTCGCTTGGCCTCGTGCCTCACAGGTCGGTTTTGTCAGGCGTTGTGGCCATGGTGGATAAATCACATATATATATAACCACTAGTCACTAGTAACCATTACTGGTTGGTGGTTTGGAACATGAATGTTATTTTTCCATATATATGGTTGGTACCTCAAGTCACCATGGATACCAACTTGAAGTCTAAGGAGTTGGATGATTGAGGTTTTTCTATTTCAGGAAACCACCATATAATCATCTGGTTGGTGGTGAACCATGGAATTTTGAATGACTTTCCCATCATACTGGGAATGGAATAATCATCCCAACTGACTTTCACTTCATCATTTTTTTCAGAGGGGTAGGGCTCAACCACCAACCAGATGATGATTATAGCATTACACTATGCATCTTCTGAAAAGGGACAAACATGGTGGCAAATTATTTTCTGAAATATAAATGTTTTTCAGAATTTTGATATTTCATGGTTTTGTAGTTTGGTTTATTCAAGCATCATGGATGATATAAAAACCATCATGGACATGATTAGAAAAAAACGATTGAAGAACAATCATGTGATTATATGTGTTTGCTAGAACATTATATGATATTATATGATTACTAAAAAACATTATAAAATGTGCAACCACGTATATGTGGTTCTATACATGATTTGGTACCACCATTGTATATCTGGTTTTGCAAATGGTGATACCTCAAGTCACCATGGATACCAGCTTGAAGTCTAAGGAGTTGGATGATTGAGGTTTTTCTATTTCAGGAAACCACCATATAATCATCTGGTTGGTGGTGAACCATGGAATTTTGAATGACTTTCCCATACATACTGGGAATGGAATAATCATCCCAACTGACTTTCATATTTTTCAGAGGGGTTGAAACCACCAACCAGTTATGGTGTTTCAAAATCATCATGATATACTGTTCTATAATGTTGTAAAGATAGTGTTTATCATCATACAATAACCTTCATGTATGATTTAATACGCATCATGGATTTATGATATGTAATGATATAAACTAGTATAAATGGTTGTAGGCAGTAAATTATCCAACATACATTGATAAAGTTAAATCTAACCATCATCAAAAGATGTGAGTAGCAGAAATGGAGTTAGTATCCAACAATTAGTATTAAACCGTAACCTGAATATATGAGTCAAAATTGGCTACCCCAACAATTGGATGATGAGTAGCAAAAATAGACTAAATCATACTATATAAACCAGTTGTTTCCCCCCGGTCTTCAGTTTTGACCCATACGCAATTAACAATGTGTTTAGCACCATGACGTACAAAACACTGTAAAAATGGAGTGTTTGGAGGCATATGGGAACTCATGTTTACATCCCCACCATTCCCCACCAACGGCCACTCTCTAAATTCACTAACAATACATGGAAATATGATGGGGGTATGATGGGTATATCTGGTAGTAATGGTTGTAACATGCTGTAACATGGTTGTATCTGGGGAAAAACGATATCTTAACGACCGAAACATTCATAGATAAGCCATCGAGATTGTCAAACCACATTTTTTTGTATAAACAATATCTCAACCACCGAAAAAATTGGTCGAAATTTCTATATCAGATAGATTAACCAACACTAAATGGGAATATGACGAGGATCTTTAGTTAAGTAATCTTCCAAGCCCCGGCCGGGTACGGCCGACCAGCAGGTGAAAGCCGACCACGGTGGAGATTCCCAGCAAGACCAGATTCCACCGGCACGGCAGGTTTTAAAGTCACCAGAGATGCCCAAACAAATGTAGCATTTGATGGTGGATATACAGAATATGATAGATGGGTTTTGTAGAATATTATAGATGGGATTTGTTTTAGGAAGTCCAAACTAGGGCAGCACATTTCTAAGATCTTTGGTTGTTGGCGACCGTTAAAAAAGTGAGTGGTCAATCTCCGGAAGACACACATGGAAGGTGATGCTTTCCCCAAGCAGCACCCGTTTTTTTTGGTGAAATCCCAAGTTGTTGATGTTGTTGGCTACATCCAACTTTGGTTGATGAAATTCCATCTTAAATTTATGAGTCTATAATATATATATAATACATAATATCTAATATATATTTAATTCTCCATACATAATTTCAAATACATAATATATATATAATACATATTTAATCTATAATATATAAATAATAAATAATATATGATATTTAATATTTAATAAATTATTTATAATTTCTATTTTAAAATATATAATATTTAGTATAATATATATATAATATATGATATATAATATATAATATATGATATATAATATATAATATATGATATTTAATATATGATATATAATATAAAAGATATAATATTTATTTTTTCTATAATTGTTGATTCTTAACATAAAATATATAATATATCATATATCATATATCATTTATAATATGTAGTACATAGTATATAACAATATATATATAATATACATAATATATAATATATAATATTTAATATATGATATTTAATATATAATATAATATATTTAATTTATAATTAATATAAAAAAATATCATATATGATATTTAATATATGATATATAAAATATTTAATATATAAAATATAATTTATAATATATATAATATAATATATATATAATATAAAATGTATAATTTATAATATATATAATATAATATAAAATATAATGTATAATATATAATATATAATATTTAATATTTAATATTTAATGTTTAATATAAAATTTATCATATGTAATATATAATATATAATTTTTAATATGTAATATATTATATATATTATAATATATATATAATATATTATAATATAGTGTATATATATAAGATAAAATATAACATATATATATATACACATACAGCATGTCGAATCCCTTTTCTGGGGAAAGCTTCGGTTGATTTTTGGCCCTCTGAGGCACTCCACTCTGTCCTTCGGCCAGCAGGCGCAGATGGGGAAGGGCCCAGTTCGAAGCCAAGAAATTGGAGGTGTTCCAAGGGAAAATTTGATGATTTCATGGGGATTTAACCATGAAATGAAATATGATTGGGATTTCAGCAAATTCTAGCCACTTTTTGATGGAAAATCTGGAGATTTTATCTCTGATCTACCAATTTTGCTGCCATATCTGGGGTGTTGAGAGCAAGCCATTTTTCTGTAGATCAAAAGGGAGGGTTGCGGATTCAACAACCAGAGCCTAGGATGATATGTGATATATTCATCAATTTTCCATAGGAGCTAATGTTGTTAATATTTCAATGGGGATTCAATCAAGAAATACATAGAAATACATATACTGGGTCAATATTAGCCACAAAACTGAACGAAATTGTAGGACTTATCCCAAAAAAAATCATTGGAATCAGAGGAAAGGTCAGCCATCTCCAACAGTCTGTTCCTCTGACACCAAATCGACAGGATTTTTTGGAACAGGGCCATCATAATTTTCCCAAAAAACACATCTCAAACAGGGGTTGGTAACTGTCCCATTTTGGGAATATTGGACATCACCTGAAAAAGTAGCCATCTAGTAGACCATATACCTAATGGTTGGGTGATGTTCAATGGGGACATTTAATGACCCATGTCAAAAGACAGTAAAAATCCACGACACGTGAGTTTTCATCATGACATTCGAATGTGTTAACACGTTGCATGGTCAATCATTGCAGATGAATTGCTAAGTCGAAACCTACGTGACGCAAGCTGCCCAGAACTTGCAGATCTCACCACCAGGACCGCTCACTTGCGGATCACTTGTTAGGCACGGGCAGAGGAACAACATCCTGCACAGATCTCCAACAGGCTGCAGCGGCAGTTCTGGAAACACAGGGTCAATGTAGCGGAGTCACAAGATGTCTGGCCAAAACAGGGGTCGGGTGGCTTGCTTCGCTACGCAAATGATCGGACCTCCAGTGCCAACACCAGGTTCATGTGCTCAAAGTGCTGCGATCGGAAAGTTCCCAATTTCAATGGGAAGACCGCACATTTGAGAGGATATCTAGAGGTCTAAAATCTCTGACGAAATCTCTGTGCAACTGGGAATGTAGCGCAGTAAACCCAAGGAAAACTAACACTTGTTGATGGATATCATCTATATATATACTCACCAAGCATCTTGGTCGCAAGGTTTTCTAGCTGGTGGTGTTAAATTGTGCAGTATCTATGTGTTCCATCGCAAAAATTGAATTGATCCTGCAGGCGACTTAAATACATTGAGATCATTTTGGGGATATTCCATGATATTCCCAGTTACATATATATGTATAACATATATATATATATGTAATTATACAAGATCATATAATATACATATAGTTGTAATATATATATATATGTGTAATATATATATATGTGTAATATATATATGTGTAATATATATATATGTGTAATATATATATATATATATATGTGTGTAATATATATATAATATATATATATATATGATATATAATAAATATTAATTACATTTCAGATTATATTATATATAATATATAATGCATATTAAATTTATTATATAATTCAATATTTATAATTTAAATACAATACATATATACATACATACATTTAAATATATTATATTATGTAAATATATTTATTGTATTTATATCATATATATTTATGTGTTTTATATATTATTTACTAATATACATAATATATATAGTATATATTATATTATATGTATTGTATTAAATATATTATATTACCTTTTACATTTTATATTATCGTATTTATCTTATATTATCTTATATATCTTTTATATATATATATTACATTTTCAATATATATATGTATATCATTTATTATATATATATTTATTTTACATACATTATATATTTATATATTATGTTCTATAATATATATAATATATATATTTGATATATATTATATATATATTATATTATATATTATTTGTGATATAATTTTATATTATATATATTATATTATATATTTTATATTATATATATAATATTTTATATATTAGGGAAAGACATTGTCTTCAAGGCAGTTATTTTGAACACATTCTATAAGTCTTTCACTTAAAGAAATATCATAAAACGAAAATGAGAGGAAGGCTGAGTTCCCTAAAAGGATGTATTCCATGTTTCCACATATATATGTATATGTTTTTTGCAAGAATAGTGTTTCTTGTTCAGGCAACATTTTCCTTTAACACCATTTTTTCTTTTCAAGGAATGTTGTAATGAGCATCAACCAATGCACATGTTCACAGCTCAATGTTAATCACACACTGCATATTGAGTAGGAATCTGGTGTTTTGAAAGAAATACTGTATGATTGAACGAAGGCTGAATAATTTCCTGAAGGGAAACTGCACTTCTTCAGAAAAGAGCAGTGCATGTTTAGAGGAATGCTCAATATGTTGCAGGGATACTGCTTCTTTGAAGGGCGTACAAAATTTGCATGATCAAACTCACTGCATAATTAGTTGAAGTATGCAGTGAGTTTCATCATGCATGTCTCTGGCAAAGCATCAAAGGTAGATCTTAGGGGGTGGGCTAGCATAGATATATATACATATATTTACATAGTGTTTATTGTATTCATATTTTGTTATTTGCATAATTATATAATATTATATATATATTATATAAATATGTATATATATATATATGTTATATTATGTTTAAAATATTATATTATATTATATTTTCTTCTATTGTATTTTTTATTTTATATTATTTTTTTATTATATTATATGATATTATATTACATTATATTTTATTGTATTGTATTATTATATTATATTATATTATATTTTATTATATTATATTATATTATTTTTTTTTATTATATATTATATATTGTATTTACAGTATATTATACATATACATTATATTATACATAATTATATCACATGTTTTTTTTATTTCATAAATATTAGATATATATATATGTTGCTAAGTGGGACGCATATCTTCGTACCCCCACGCAGTTTTCAGCCCTACACCGTGGCGCGATAGGTTTGGATCTCCCGGAGCGAAGCTGCCAGCGCTGCGTCGTTGTCTCCGGTGCGCCCTTGGCGGGGTCGCAGGTTGGCTCGGCATAGGGTGATCCAAACAAAAATGTGGGGAAAATGTGAGAAATGTTTAGGAAATGTTGGGAAAATGTGCGACATGTCTTTTTGCTCTTTGAATGGAGATTATGAGATTGTTGTTGGGCATCCCACCCAAGATTATTTTTTGCGGGGGTACTGGTACGTGAACCTGGCCGTCCAGATGATGTGCATGAATCCTCCGGTGCCATGTGTCTGGGTGATCTTTGGTTGTGTAGTTGAAGATTTTGCTCACAACATCCTGATATCTTCAGTATGTTTGTGGTAAGGAGTTAGACAAGCTAAGATACCAGTCAGATACTGGGATGATCCCTGACCCTTGAAGAATCATGTCATCGGAACTGATTCATTTGGTTGCTTCATAAGACCCTTTTCAGGGTCTATGTCAATTTACCAGAGGGTACTAAGTGGGATGATCCTCCATGTTCTGGGCAGAGAAACCGACCTCGGGTCGCAGCCCGAGGTCCGTGCTCTGTCGCCCATGTCGCGGCCTGGAGCCTGGATGATCTGGATGTTTTGGTTCGCACATTCCATGAATTTCATCATTTTTTCCCTGAAATTGAACATGTATGAAGATTTGGAGGGTCTGTTTGATATTCAAGACACTTCAAGACTATTTTAGACAAAACACTCGGTTTCAAAAGACATAAACTATTTCATTTGATACACTCATTTCAGTCTGAAAATACGAGCGGTATATTGGGGGTATGTTCCGTTTTCAGATACCCCCAAGTTCTTTTTCTGGTGGTTTCGAATATTTGATATTCAAGACTATTTTTGGGCTGATGCGTTCCAATGATTACAGCAAGATTTTTGGGATGCAATGAAACCACCGACCTGAATAGTTGACAGTTTTAACTTTATAGTAGTTGACAGGGGGCCATCTTTATAGAAGTTTGAAGATCCGTTTGCCAGCTATTTTGGGGGGAACACTAGGGACTAGGGTACCAGGTTACGGATATTCAAGTGACGATCAATCTACGTAGCGGTTGACGCTTGTATTGGGCGCCATACCAACTGGATCTACTGTAATTGGAGGACTCATTATCCATTACGAGAATATGGTAACCCCTATTAAAGTATTAACAGACCACTAGAAAGCATGTATTAGATTGGTGTGTTTCTTTATATTGGGATATAGTACTTCAATGAGTATATCTAGTGTGGTAAACCCAATAATAAACCTATGGGGATTATCTTTAAATAAAATGGCGATGGAATGGCGATGGATAAAAAGGCAGTGGCTTTACCACATGAATACCCTCTGGTAATTTAACATAGCTATTGAAAATGGCCATTTATAGTAAGTTTTCCCATTAAAAATGGTGATTTTCCATAGCTATGTTAGTTTACCAGAGGGTAACTATGGACATGTTTGGATAGATCGGAGTTCTCCCAAGTTCTCCCCCGCTCTCCAAAGGTCACCAGCCGCCAAATCTGGTCGAGTGCTGTCTCAGGCTTTTCGGGAATGGGGTATTCAGTGATTTCTTGCAAGATGGAAAAAGGGGTAGAGTATTTGGATACAGAGACATCCCTTTCTGCGTTTAGATCTCCAGGATTTCTTGATATAGAAAAACGCCAAACAACTGTTGATGCAATCCCATGAAATTTGGGAATTAGGGATGGAGGGCTATTTTTTGGTGGATTTTTTTGTTTTTCTTGTTTTGTTTTTCAGCCTGGGGCAGCTTTCCTTGCTATTTGCTGCATTTTGAAGCTAAAATCTGTGTTTTGCATGCATTTTGGAGCTAGAATCTCCCTTGTGTGGCTTGTTGGCTTCTGTGGCTTTTGTTGCTTTTTATGGCTTCTTGCTTCTTGAATCTCGTAGCTTGTTGGCTTTTGTGGCTTTTTGTGGCTTCTTAGATCTCGTAGCTTTAATGATTTAACTGATTTAATACTTTATTTTCACAGCAGGGGCAACCTGATATAATACTTTATCATATGGATTTTTAACCGGCCCCCCTTGCTACCTACTCCTGCCCCTTTTTTTCAGCATCGTTTATGCGGGTTCATCTTATCTTTCTTAATCTCTATTGAGATCCATCGAGACTGCCTATGTGCTTCTTTCTTGGTACGCATTGCGGGGGAAGGCGCTGCGCCCTCCCCCCTGCACCCCCCCACCCGCTTTTCTTTTTAACCGGCCCCCCTTGCTACCTACTATTCTTGTTTTTTCGTAAGCATCATCGTTTATTTGGGTTCATCTTATCTTTATTGATATCCATCGATACTTGTGCCTATGTACTTCTTTCTTGGTGCGCTCCCGAAGTCCATAGCTCAACCTGTAGCTCTGATAATGCAAAGAAATAGACTAATATGATCCTAAGTCAAAAAATATATGAACACGTGAAGAAGTAAGTAAAGATAGATTCAGATAGATTTAGATGTAAATAAATAAATAAAACAAATAAATACATAAAATAAATAAATAAACAAATAATTAAAAATTATATGTATATAATGTATATATATATAATATATAATATATAAATATTATAGATATAATACAAAAATATTATATTTAATATATAATATATACATATATATATATATGATAATATGTTTTATTATATTTATATATATATATATCATATATTATATATAATACATATATATATATATAAAAAACAAATATATATATATACAGTATATATATGTGATGATTCGAAAAACCGATGGAAACCATGGAAAAATCGATAGAAACAAATGAAAAAAACAATGCAAACCATGGAAAGAATCGAGTAAAACCATGAAAAAATCGAGTGAAACCATGGAACAAATCTAGTAAAACCATGGAAAAATCAAGTAAAACCATGGAACAATTGAGTAAAACCATGGAACAATCGAGTACAACCATGGAAAAATCGAGTACAACCATGGAAAAATCGAGTAACACCATGGAAAAATCGAGTAACACCATGGAAAAATCGAGTAAAAAATTTTAGCTCCAAAATGTAGCAAAATGCAAGGAAAAGTGCCCCAGACCGAAAAAAAATATCCGCACCCATTAGGGATCATCGAATCCCGTTGGGTAGTCAGATCATCTAGTTTCCCCAACCTGGAAGCGTAGAGTTCATTCGTTTTTGCAGATGGTTTTGTTGGAAATTGTTGCTTCCCATGCATGTGGTTTAGTTTGTTTGTTGATGTTTTTATATGTTTTTTGCATCTTTGTTGGGATGCGTCCTCTTCTATGATCCTCCCTTTGCTGTTGCTAAGTCGCCCGACTCCCAACTGCCTGGCGATGGTGGAACTAAATGGGAAAAACTCATATGGGGAATGTGATTGCAAAAATGTGGCTGATCAATGTTGATCACTTATGTTATATGGTTTGTACTGCCTGGATTTTTGGGCATATTTAGGACACATACTATATGATACTATATATATATATTATATACATATATATATATATTAACCCACCAATAATGGCTCCGGGAAAGCTTGGATTTTTTCGTGTTTCTGCTCGGACTCCCCATGGTTCCATGGTGAATTCCCCACTTGGATGATCCTCACGGCGGCCATATGGGCCCTTTGTGGTGCTCCGGAGAAGGTGGTTGCGAAATCATCGTGAGCGAGTTTTAAGGAAGATCATGTCCTTACTATGCAAGTCCCGAAGAGTGCAGTGCTGCAGTGGGCAAGATAGTTGGACAGGGATTGATTCAAGATATTCAAGAACAGCTCGGATCGGAGTTTGAACTCCATGCTTTTCACGGACCCTTCGACAGTCAAGTACGAAGGAAACATCAAAACACGAGCGGGGAGACCCTACAGTAAAAGGACCTAGGACCTAGATATAGAAAATCCCAGCATGCATGTGCATCAGTTTCTTGGGGGAATCCCATGGTTTCAGTATCTTCCCAATCTTGGAGTGCTTAAACCTCCGTAAAAATCACATTTTCTGCGGTCAAGCCCTTATTTAAATTATATAATTATTATATCATATCCTAATCATTTCCAGTAATTATATCCCATTATATCTCACATGTTTGAGGGGGTAAAACAGCATTGAATGAAGTATTTTATATCCCAATTATATCCAGCAACTATATCCCATTAAAATGGTAAATCATCCAGTAGTTATATCCCAAGTTGCCTTGTCAGCGACCACTCCCAGCGCCAGTACCTCTTCAGCGTGCCGGATGATGGTCGGCCATTGCAGGTGGGTGGGGGTGAAGCGGTTTGAAATCTCTATGGGTTTAGCTACCAATAAACAGGGATAATGTGGTAAACCCAAATAATAAAACTTCAATTTTTTATGGTGTATACCACCCATTCCTGGTGATATTAGAGATGGTTTAGATGGTTAACTAATCCCTTCCTCCTAATACTAAACGTCCCCCATCTCCAATTTCAGAAAATTTCAGATTGGCCAATTTGATTTTTAATTGATCCCCTTTAGAAAACAATTTAAAAATCAACCTACCATTTGTGGGTTTCCCCCCCTAATACTAAAAACTAGTTCACCCTGGGTGTTTATTATTAGGGTTCGTCCGGTTTTTTTAGTTTTTTATATTAAGGTTTTTAATTTATTATTAGGGGGAAGCTTCGAAATCCAATTTTTGGATATTGTTGGCAATATTTTAATTGCGTTATATAAAGAAATTTACTTGATTTTGAGATCGGAAAACATAGTTTTTATTATTAAGGGTTGTAATTTAATATTAGGGGGAAGCTTCGAAATCCAATTTTTGGGAATATTTTAATCGCGTTATAAAGAAATTTAATTGATTTTGAGATCGGAAAAAATAGTTTTTATTATTAAGGGTTTTAATTTAATATTAGGGGGAAGCTTCGAAATCTAATTTTTGGCAATATTCTAATCGCACTATCTAAAGAAATTTACTTGATTTTGAGATCGGAGAAATAGTTTCTATTATTAAGGGTTTTAATGTAATATTAGGGGGAAGCTTCGAAATCCAATTTTTGGCAATATTTTAATCGCACTATCTAAAGAAATTTACTTGATTTTGAGATCGGAAAAATAGTTTCTATTATTAAGGGTTTTAATTTAATATTAGGGGGAAGCTTCGAAATCCAATTTTTGACAATATTCTAATCGCGCTATATAAAGAAATTTACTTGATTTTGAGATCGGAAAAATAGTTTTTATTATTAAGGGTTTGAATTTAATATTAGGGCTAAGCTTCGAAATCCAATTTTTGGCAATATTTTAATCGCATTATATAAATAAATTTACTTGATTTTGAGATCGGAAAACATAGTTTTTATTATATTAATTATTAAGGGTTTTAATTTAATATTAGGGGGAAGCTTCGAAATCCAATTTTTGACAATATTCTAATCGCGCTATATAAAGAAATTTACTTGATTTTGAGATCGGAAAAATAGTTTTTATTATTAAGGGTTTGAATTTAATATTAGGGCTAAGCTTCGAAATCCAATTTTTGGCAATATTTTAATCGCATTATATAAAGAAATTTACTTGATTTTGAGATCGGAAAACATAGTTTTTATTATATTAATTATTAAGGGTTTTAATTTAATATTAGGGGGAAGCTTCGAAATCCAATTTTGGGGAATGTTTTAATCGCGTTATATAAAGAAATTTACTTGATTTTGAGATCGGAAAAATAGTTTTTATTGTTAAGGGTTTTAATTCAATATTGGGGGGAAGCTTCGAAATCCAATTTTTGGCAATATTTTAATTGCGTTATATAAAGAAATTTACTTGATTTTGAGATCGGAAAAAATAGTTTTTATTAAGGGTTTAATTTTATTAATGTTGTCTGACCAATAGTGATATCTTGTCAATAGTAGAAAGATTTTTCCGCAACTGCAATTTTTCTCCAATACTAAAAGTCAATTAGCTCTATTTACTTTTAGTATTGCCAAAAGAGTCATGTTCAGACCTTGTCCATAGGGCATGGCCAACAGTGGACCCAACATGGCAATAGTGGAAACTTTTTTTCCAACTCCAATTTTTTCTCCAATACTAAAAGTCAATTAGCTCTATTTACTTTTAGTATTGCCAAAAGAGTCAAGTAAAGCAAATCCTTTTCAAAGCAGCCTTCACATTTGATTAGCAAAAGCTTAGATTCCAGAAATCTGATCGAATTACCAAACAGCTGATTTCCTTATAAACCCTTATTAAAAAAAGCAAGAAAACAGGTCCACAAAAAGGGTACCCCCTTTGCAAGCCCCAGAATAGCAATAACAAACCTGCACCAGGCATGGCAATAGTGGAAACTTTTTTCCGCAACTCCAATTTTGTTGCCCTCCTTCTCCTTCTCCTTCTCCTTCTTCTCCTTCTCCTCCTCCTCCTCCTCGTCCTCCTCCGTCGCCTCCACCACCTCTGCCCCCACTTCCATGATCCCAGCTATAGATTCCCAAAAATTATTATAGGAAGGTTGACCCCCCCCTAAAATATTTTTCAAAAAAATAAAATTTAGGGGGAGGGTAATTACTATTAGGCAGCCAACATTAATAGGGTTCCCTAATAAGAAATACCCCCCTAATACTAAAAACTACCTGCCGAGTTTAGTAATAGGGGGGGGCGTTTAGTATTAGGAGAAAGGGATTATTGGGTTTACCGTAATTATAGCGAAGAATGAGGATTGGGATGAGATAACTTTGAGATAACCAAAAAAACAACAGCCGAGTCGGATCCTTCGGCAGAGAGTGATGCAGCCAGCAGCAGCCAAGCAGAGCCAGCGTCCAGCAGCGGCCAGGCAGCACGGTCGGAGGACAGCCGCGGCACGGAAGTCACCTTGTGTTGCAAGAGGTGCAGCGCATTGCAGCAAGCGTGCCCGACTACGAGGCCTTGGTGCCGGCAGGGGAAAAATTGCGATTTTGAAGTGTCCGCGACAACCCTTTCGCACGAAATGAGGTTTGATCGCCTGCGGCCGGCGACCCGCAAAGCAGATTACCTAACCTGCGCCCATTGCCGCAACCGGACCCGGCAGGAAAAGCTTTTTCAAGGTAGCGACCAAGTTCGCAACATGTTTCCAGTGGCCACAATGAGCAGGGCACACCGCATAGCAGAGGCCAGGCGGAGAGCAGTCCCTTGAATGTTAAACATGGTTTTCATTTGCTGGTCTAGGTGTAAACCGTGGTGATGCCATCAGGTTTTCACGGTTTCCTCCAGTGAAGACTGCGTGGCCATTGGCCTTCCCTGCTGCTTGGAGGTTGTTTGGTTTGGACCGTGACCCCTTGATATGCAAGAAATATGGACCCCAAATCACATGGTTTATAATCATGGTCTCATCTTGTGGGGAACGCCATGGATGACTAAACTTGTTAAAGCAAGGATGTAACAAAAGCACATGGTATTTTTCCATCAACCCATGGATTTTCCGGCATTTTGTCCTGCTATACCCATCACATTTATTCCAGTGTTCTTGGCATAACCACCATGTGGAGGTTTCCGAAAATGGAAGTACCCCTAAATCATCTATTTTAATCCGTGTTTCCTTATAAACCATCAATTTTTGGGTATCACCATTTATGGAAACCACCATTTTTCAGGGGCTTTCCACGCAGGTGAGCACATCAATGTCACCTCTCCAGCGGGCGACCAGGCGAGTGCCCTTCAGTCCCTTGGTTGATCTGGGACCTGGATATACCTGGATATAGATATGGTAGAAATTAGTTAAAGATTGTATATCTAGTGATAGTTAAACATGATATATGATATTAAATGATATGAGACGTGTTTCTTAAACAATAGGGATGATATTAAATGATATGAGACGTGTTTCTTAAACAATAGGGATATATATATATATAGATAGATACTTACTACTGAGTATAAATATATATATATATATGTATCCAGCACAAATTCTTGTAATTGTATATAGTGATAAAGAAACTTATTTAGGGCCACCCTCTTCCTGTCTGAAATTGATGATGAATGGCTTTCCAATTTTTTGTACACCTTTTTTTTTGGACGGACTCATGTGGGAATTCCTGGAGAAAACCGACTTAAAGCAACAAACCTGAGGAAGATTAGAAAGATATGAAAGATGGTGATATATCCAAGACCTCCCAGCAAAAGTGAGGATACACTCGTCAACCATGAGAGGATATGTCGATCAACGCCAGATAGGCTACTGACCATGTTTGACACACACGCAAGAACAAATAGAGGAACAAATGGATGATGATAAAATGATACATATGGGCAGTGTTTAAAACCACTGTTGGTACGTTCCTATCGGAAGTTATGCGATCCAATACAGTAATTATTGCCAATCCATTGGGCTTTCTCATCATTCACTGAGAATCCCGTTCTTAACCAACCAGTATCTTGCTCGTCTCCACTGACAAAAAACCTGGGTGTGGAGCCTGTTGGTCAACGGAGAGGTGTGATCATGTCCTATCATGTCTTATCCTATGTCATGGCCAAGATTCCGGTTTCCATGCGTTTTATGTATGTTCAAACCCAACATAACAAGGAAAAATGGCCCGTTCCGTCATTTACTTCGATGATTTACCTATTGAAGATGGTGACGTTAAAGTTTGCAAACTGTGAAATTACCAGAGGCTATCCTTTTTTTCTCCCCTCTGCTTCCAATCTTTTGCTCCAAAGGCACGCAACTCAGTGGAGCCATCTCTGCCGTAGGGTGTCCTAGGTTTTTCCGCAGACAAGCCACAGTCTTCGTTGTTTATGATGTTTCAGGTTACCAGGCAGGTTTTCGCATTTTTTTGCCAGTTGAAAGCCGTTGGCCACACTTTTGTTGGTTGATTCGGCCCAGACACGCCAAACAAAAACACACAGTTCGAGTCAGCGGTTCCCAGAGCCCCCAGGGCCTGATGTTTTCCATTAAGTACCAGGGGAGACTAGCAGGCTGAAAAAGGGTCATCAATTTGCATTGCTTCGTTAGAAGTTGCTTTAGAGCTTTTTGGGGGGCAGGATTAGATGGGGTTACTAATTGTATATATATATATATTTATGCAAACATATTATTTATGTATACATATGACATATATATGTATATATTGTGTACAATGTACATATATACATATATATATATATAGGTGTAAATAATATATATGTACTGCATTCTGCCACTTGGAGTTCCCTTTTGCTTTGAAGGACAGACCTGGCAAGTTCAACACAAACATTCATCTCCCATTTCCAAGACCAAATTGACCCTCCCTTCAGTGTAGTAGTGTTGATTGAAAGCCACAACAACAGCAACCAACAACCAACAACAACCAACAACAACCAACAACAACCAACAACCAACAACAACCAACAACAACCAACAACCAACAACCAACAACCAACAACCAACAACCAACAACCAACAACAACCAACAACCAACAACCAACAACCAACAACCAACAACCAACAACCAACAACAACCAACAACCAACAACCAAAATTCAACAACCAACAACCAACAACCACAACAACAACAACATCATCATCATCATCATCATCATCATCATCATCATCATCCTCATCCTCATCCTCATCGTCATTCTCATCATCAGATGATGCATCATGTGTTTTCCCTGCTGTATTGACCTTAAATTGGTGTTTTTAGGGGTTGTAAATCCGTTCCCATTCGTTTCTATCACCGAGGTGAACCACTGGTGAGAATTTGCGCAGAATGTATCGTCAATGCACAGCAAAATGTGACTTCCTAGTCGTGTGAAGAGCGGGAGGCGACGCCGTTGGATTGGTCTATCTTCCCGGTCTCATCACAAACATGTGAGCGAGAGGAACTGGGTAAACTGTGAATGGCTATGGTCTATTATTTCGTACTAAATTTAGATAGTACTAGAGCATTTCGGTTTTCATTTTTTCCTATACTGGAATATTTGCAAACCAGCTATAACCAGCTCATATTTTTTTCGGGATCAGGGTATCCTGAAATAGCCATGAGAAGAAATCCGCACCACAAACGTGAGCCACGAGAGTCCTGAATTCACTGCTGAAAAGCGACTCTGGCAGATTACCCGGGCTTACCTTCGGCCATGATCTAAAATGGGAAAGTGATTATACACCAGATGTTACGGGCACATTTGAGAAGACCTAAGTTTTTGGTGCGTCAGGATCCATGAAGAAATTGTCAATGATTCTGCCAGGGTCGCTGAGCCCCATCTGAGGTGTTAACGTGCAGAAATTTTAACGTTTTTTGTTGCATGAAATCCGTGCGCCCATAGGTTGGCGTACTTAATGAAAACACGTGCGAGCTAAGAACTCATCAAAAAGAAATATATATTAAATATATTACATATGTTATAAATATTATATATATTATATATATTATATATATTATATATATTATATATATTATATATATTATATATATTATATATATCATATATATTATATATTATATATTATATATTATATATATTATATATATTATATATATTATATATTATATATATTATATATATTATATATATTATATATTATATATTATATATTATATATTATATATTATATATATTTTATATATATATTTTTTTTAAAACTATATATATATATATTTTATATATTATATATCATATATTATATACTATATATTATATATTATATATTACATATTATATATTATATATTGTATATATTATATACATTATATATATAATATATATAAAATATATAATATATATATATATATATTATATATATTATATATTATATATATTATATATTATATATATTATATATAATTTATAATATTTTAGTAATATAATTTATATTTTTTGAAAAATATATAAATAATTATTATTTTTAATTTGATTTTATATTTGAATAGAAGCAAGATTTTATTTCGGCAAGAGATCCTAAATAATGTGAAGGGAATTGGAGGATAATAAAGGCTAATATTGAGGATGAGGAGGATGATGGTGACGATTATGGTAATGATGAAAATGATGGTGATAATAATGGAAATATTGCGGATAATGATATTGAGGATGATATGGAGGATGATATTGAGGAGGATGAGGATGGGGATGATGATATATATTGATATTGAGGAGGATAAAGATGAAATTGATATAAAAAGGAAGATTATTATATGGAGATGGATAATGATGGTAATAATAATGATATTGATAATGATGAAAATAATAAATATAAAAATTAGGATAATAATTAGATATATTTTTTAATTTATTTTATAAGTATTTTTATTTTATTTTTTTATATAGTATTTGGAATAATTATAAATTTAATTTATTTTAATTTTATTTATTATTTTAAAAAAATATTGAAATTATAAATAAATATGTTTTTATATAATTTAAAAAATATATATATATATTATAAAATATAATAAATATATTTAAAATTATTAAAAATATATAAATAATATTGAAATAAAATAATATAAATATTTGAAAAATTATATTTAAAAAAATTATAATAATTAAATATTATTATTTATTAATTATTATAAACAATTATATATAAATTAAAAATTATTTAAATAATAT